GCATCCCAGTATCCTCTGCCCGGGCCCCAGGCCACGTCGTTCAAAAGCCGGTACTTGTTTTTCTCAACATCCAGCGTGCCAGGCTGCAAGGCTGTGCCTTGGACAGGCTGGGCGGGGCTCCAGGGCCAGCTCCTCTGACTGCTCCACTTGCCTTTGGAGTGTGGGTCAGCAGACGCCTCTCCCTTCAGGCTGGGGGAAGATGTGGGAGCCTGGGGGCCTCAGTTTGTGTTGTTGCTGCTGTTTTTTTTTTTTTTTAAGGGGTGGGGGCAAGGTAAGAGTTTGATTCTGAAACCTCAGGCCTGGGTGTGGGCTGCCTCTGCAGGCTCAGGAAGCAGAGCCCAGATGCAGCCCCCTGGTCAGGTCTCTTAGGTGAGAGGTTCCTTTAAAGGACAAAGGACGAGACAGTGGGGCACGCACTCTCCACAGGGAACCACGGCTCCTACTGGGGATAAACAACAGGTAAAAAGGAGGGAGCAGGAGGAGACCCTCTTCTGCCAGGCCCCTCCCCACTTGCCTTGGCTCTGCCCGGGGAGCCCTGGCGCCAGGCCCCACCTGTCCTATTTATGGCGCAGACACTGTGAGGGCATCCAAGACAGCCTGCTCTGGGTGTAGCCTTCAGCTGTCTGGCTGCACCTTAGAAACTATTTATTCCCCAGAAGCCCCTGGGGCGTTTCAGAAGGTGGCACTGTGGTCACCTGGGAAAGCCCCCAGGGGCTTACAATCCTGGAAAATATTTTTGATGAGCTGTTTGAGCTGGATGTACAGAGGAATAGGGGTTATTTTATTGCTGTAATATTGTATGATACTGTAACTGTACATTAATGTCACTTACTGTAAATGTACTATGGTTTTATTAACAATAAACATTCATTAACAATGACCTTGGCCTCAATGCTCCTGAGAGAGGATTGCTCAGAGTTCAGAGGCGGGGAGGGCCCAGGGCTGACTCGGGGTTACTCATGGCACCCCATCTCTCCCCTGGAACCTGCGCCTGGACGCCAGGTGACACGAGGGGACAGCGGCAGGCCTTTCCCTCCGCGGCAGTGACGGGGGAGCTGCTGTTGGGGCTGGCTTCCCAAGTACTTGCAAAGTCCCAATGTGGGGCCAGAGCCACCTCTACCTGGCCCCTGAGCCCAAGCTGGCCATGCCACCTTATGGGGACCCCAGAAGAGGTCATCAAGGGAGGGAGCCAGTGACTCAAGTCCAAGGGCTTCTGGGCCCTGCTTGAGTTTGAGATGCAAAGGCCAGGCAGGAATACAGGTTAGGCTCCTGCCTGAATAAGGAGGAAGAATTCCTAAGGCCCCCCGGGAGCCTGCGGCTCAGGGACAGCCAGGAAGCCCACGCAAAGCCCTCATCAAGTCAGTGCTGGGAAGGGCCCACTTCTGGGCTCTGCGGGTGCAGGGTTGGGCCAGGTAGCTTGAGGTCCAGCCTGGGCAGCATGTGGACCCACAGCGCCTCCCGGAGGCCACAGAAAGGAGGTCTGCTCGGCTCCGACAAGGCGGGGAGGGGCTGTCCCTCCAGGTCAATGTCTAACCTCCCCCTGGAGGAAAGTACCCAACACAGGATCTGGCTGCAACCTGAAGCAAGATCCAGCTAAGATCCAGCCAGGGCTCTCTGTGGGGGAGGGGCAGGGGCCCCTCTGGGCCTGTGTGTAGCACAAACATCATGCATTCTTCCAAGGGACCAGGAATCTAAGGGGAATGGGGTGTTACTCACCCAGGCAGCTGCACCCCCCCCAATTCAGGGTCACTACTTCAGGAGTCGGGGGGGCCCTTTCTCGGTGGCTGCCAGCTTCTGGCTCCCAGGAGCCAGACTGCAGGGTCAGGGAGGAGAGGCGGCTTCCTGCAGGAGCTCCTGGGTCTGTAGGGCTGGAAGCATCAGTTAGGGACACGAGGCTCCCTCCCCTCCCCTCCGCCCGCCCCACGCGGGGTGACTGGCAGCTGGCGCTTGGAGATGTGGGTGATCCTTCCCGGCGCCCCGCCTTTTCCCTATGCCAGATGCCAAGGGTCACGGCTGCTAGGCGGCGGCAGCAGGAGCACCCGCCAAAGCCCGGGAGGAAGCCGCGGGCCTCTCCCTTTGAGGCAGCCTTTCTAGTGCCCCGTGCAAAATCCCTCTGGTGTTTAACCAATTGTCTGCTGAAATCGGGCCTCCCGGCCACGCCCCGCCTCCAGGCCTGCAGGCTGCCTGTGCGGCAGTAATAGCCTCAGATAATGAGCCTGCGTTTTTCCAAGGTGACGGTCACTTCCGCCCCTCCCCCACCCCAGCCGCACGCTTTGTGTCCCGCCTCCTGGTCACTTGGCTGTCCTCAGGGACTTTGGGGGCCAGATGAGCAGTGGAAGCACAGGAGCCCCCTGCCGGCTTGGGGCTGGGGGAGGCCATTTAGGAGGCGCCTTTGTTCCCGCCCCTGCAGCCCCCTCCCGTCCTGGCCCATCTGAATTCATCCCACAAGTGACAGCTCCTGACACAGCCGAGCTCCACAGATGTCCCCCTGTCTGGGGGCCAGATGGTGAGGGCTGGGGGAGCCGTGCTTTTTCAGCCTTGAAGGAGAACCCAAGATCAGGACATAAAGCACAGAGCCCTCTCCCCGTTGAGGACCCAGGCTTTGCAAACAACAGGGCCAGAACTGCACACCCGAGTGGACATTCACTGGGCTTTTTGTGTGCAGAGGACAAGGCCACCTCAGAGGCGTCACTGCACCGACCGGGCAGATCTGACTGCAAAGCGCACGCTCTCGGCTGTGCACGTGGGACTCTTGCTGGCTCAGGATGGTTTTAGATCACAGCCGGTCCTGCGGTCATCAGCTGGCATGGAACCAAGCAGCCTGAATTGGATGCGAGGATAGTGCCCAGAACCCAGGGCGATCGAGTGGCCCTTACTGCATTCCGGGCATTCCTCCCAGCTCTTCCCGTTCGACTCCACCCTCTCCTCGTCAGGAGGTGGTGCCACCATCCCTACTCACAATTGACAGATACGGACCTGGAGGACAGGCAGAGCGACGACCACGCTGTTCTCGGTCCATTTCCCATTGCTGTGCCCGGGTCGTTTATAAAGAAACGCATTTCTTACAGTCCTGGAAGCCGGGAGGCCCACACTGAGCCCCAGCTGGGGAGGACCTTTGGACTGGTGGGGCCTCTGGAGAGCTCCGAGGTGGCACAGGCACCGCATGGCAAGGGCTTCTCGACTGGACAGCTTTGGGAGCTGGACCCGTCTCCAGCCACCCCGCTACCCTGTGAACAGATTAGGTTCTAGGGCTCTGCCTCGTGGGCAAGCTAATCAATTCTCTCAAAATGTCCTACCTGGTCCCATTTAACCTCATAATGGGGATTCAAGTTCAACACGGCAGTGGAGACATGCAAACCATAGCAGTGCTCAAGGTCATGGGGAGGGTCAGGGTCAGGGAAGAGCCAACCATCCAACCCCCCCCCCCCCCCCGCCCCCCACAAGCTCGCCCCAGAGGTGCCGGGGGCAGCTGCACAGGCTCTGGAGCGAGGCTCTGAACGCAGGCGTCCTCACCTGCAGGACCATGTGCTCAGGTAACTGTGAGGACACCATCTGCGGGGTGGGCCTGTAGCCTGGAGGCGGAGTGCCTGGCTTCCATACCCGGCTCTGGCTCCAGACTCCAGCTGCCTGCGAACGCAGTCCCTGGGAAGCAGCAGTGACGGTCCCAGTGAGTTCCTGCCACCCACAGGGCAGACCTGGACTGGGCCCGTCTCAGCGGTGAACCAGCGGCTGGGAGCACCTTGTGCCTCTCAAAGACATCATCTGGCTCTGACCACTCGAGATCAGGGCTCTTTTTTTCCCCCAGTCATGCTCTAAGAAAATCCTCTTTGAAACGCAAGCTCAGGTGCTCATCTGAGAGAACAGCTCACGTCCTCCTCAGCAAACCCCTAGAGCTAACAGGGTCTGGCAGGCAGAAGTCGCAGACCCAAGGAATGAGAGGCCCCTGCGCCCAGGTCCTGCCAGTCCAGGAGGAGGCGCGGTAGCTGTGGGGGTGGCACAGAACCTGCCCCTCCCTCGGAGAGGCACGCGGCGTAGAGTGTTTAACACGCGGCCCAGAGCTTCCTCCCTCGCCTGTTCATCACACGCTACAAGCCTAACTAGCTTTGAGGGCTGACGAAGGTTCCCGTTTGGACCCATGGCCTGGGAATCCTACAAACCCAAGTAGGTACGAAGCCATCACAGAACCTGCGTCCCCAGTGACTGGAAGCGCCTGAACAAGCTGGCAGGGACGAGCAAGGGAAGGGGGTACAGCCAGCTGGGCCCAGGCCTCACCCCCCTCAAGGCGACCACAGCACCACCCAGTGCCCGCCACCTGTGCCAGTCTCCCGAGCTGGGGCCGCCCCAGCCACACTGCCCACCCTTGGCGGGGGCGCCCACACCTTCCAGACAAACAGCAGTGAGCCAGGGGCATGTCCAACACCCGCAGGCAGGTCTTTCAGTATGCTATTTATTAAAAATAGTTCTCCCTGCCTCTCCTCACCCCTGCAGCAAAGAAGCCTTTCCCGACGTTTCCACGAATGGATGACACGGGTCTTGGGGATGCAGATGTCCTGTGCTCCCGGCTCTGCGGGCACACTGCAGGCAGCAGCCAGCAGGAGCCACGGGAGGAGAGCACGGGGCATCAGCTACCCTGGTGCCCCCACAGTGCCACCGCAGGCCACGGGCTGTTTGGACAAGTCCATGATCGAAGCCAGGGCTCCCTCAGCCGCCTCCCGTGAGGTCACCAGACAGTCATGTCCTCAAGGGCCTGAGAAGGGACAGGAGCCAGCATGCTGTCCCCAGGAGCCTGAAAAGCTGGCCCAAAACAAATGATGAACTTACGGGAAAGGAGAGCCCCGGACCAGGAGGAGGAGCGAGACCCCGGCAGCGCCCAGGGTTTGCCCAGCCGCCAAGTTCTGAGCAGACCGCCTGGGAGTGACTTTGCCGGCAGCCAGGCTGGCCCCGTGGCCTGACACAGTCGGGCCTGGAGACTGAATTCATGGCTGGCCTCCAGGTTTGCGTTTGTTTTTTTTGTTTTTGTTTATTCTTTTTTAAAAAACAAAACAAAAACAACAGTCCAGGCTGCCCGGGCCACCCACAGAAGGCTCAGGAGTTCCCGAGGCCGGCCGCTGCTGCCCAGGTCTCTTTACTACTTCTTCCGCTTCAGTTTCGTGTCTTTTTTGTTCCTTGTGTCTCTGCTTTTCTTCAACTTCTTGTTCTGCTTTGCTTCTTGTTTGCCTTCCATCTTCCTTTTCTTGTCACTGGAGGGGAGAAAGCCAGCAGCATGAATGACACGCGCAGGCGGCTCTGCTTGTCCGCGGGAGTCCCCGCCGCCCGGCCCTGGCTGTACAGAGGTAAGTGTTCTCTGCAAACCCACCAGGCGGCAGGCGTGGCGCTGCAGGCTGGGGCTCCACCCACGCACGGCCTGCTGGGAACGAGCCGGCATCTGAACACCTGAACCTTCCATGCGGTGTGTGCCCCTCCCAGGACCTCAAGAAGAGCTCAGGCGGCTCAGAGAGGCTTCCCTCCCACCCCAGGGGCTGCCTGGAAAGCAGACACAGCATCCCAGAGCCCGTGAGGACAATGCCTGATACCCAGCACCCCAGAGCCCGTGAGGACAATGCCCAATACACAGCATGAGACTCCGAGGAAAAGTCTTCGCTGCTTTCTGATGTGCTACCGTTACTGTATTTTCCCTAAACCACTGGAAGAGACCCAAAGCAACAGTAATTGACTCAGGCCACGCCCTACAGCTGGCCACCGATTCCTCACTGACAGACCGGCATGGGAATCACTCAGCAAACAGCACCTTCCATTATGGAACTGTGTGGCATCCCATATGGATGCCAGCTCAAGTCCCAGCTGCTCACTTCCAATCCAGCTCCCTGCTGATGCACCTGGGAAAGCACTGGAAGATGGCCCAAGTCCTTGGGCACCTGCATCCACGTAGGAGACCCAGATGAGGCTCCTGGCTTCCGCCTGGCCCAGCCCTGGCCATTGCAGCCATTTGGGGAGTGAACTAGTGGATGAAAAAAATCTACTTCTTTCTCATTCTTTCAAATAAATAAATAAATCTTATGATAGACATCAGTATTTTTACCTCCAAACATGCAGACTGTCACATTTATCGCAAGCCCTCAAGTCCATTAATGACCACAACATTCTGCAGGCTCCTGGCCAGACTAACATCAGACAGATGGCAGCAGGGGCCCTGCTCTGCAGAGTCTCCATGGCTAGGGCGCTCTCCCAGGTTCTGTTATGGTCACAGCTACCGTGGTCCGGGCCAGAGGCTTGAAGCCATCAAAGGCTCTGTGCTGAACCTGCCACACTGTCCAAACCAGAAACAGGACACAACAGAGCGGGCTCATGTGCTACAGCACAGCACATCTGGGAAGTGAGGCCAGAAGCACTCCATGCCGCCAGAGTGACTTACGGAGACATCAGAAGAATCTCGCGTTTCTGGGATCTAAGGTTCCTGGGGTCACACGGTTTCCTCTTCCCAAATGTCTCAAGGGGGCCCATCCACAACCATGGTGATGCCTAGAACTCACCATCCCCACCAAGCTCCAAGCCAGTTGCGCAAGCCTTTATCTCCAGAGGCCTTGCTCTATTTCCAAGGCAAACGTTGACGAAGGCTGCAGCCCAGCAACCGTGTCTACCCACAATGCACTACTCTGCCGATAGGAAGCTGGGAGTGAAGGTTCAGAGAGTGGTGTAGGGACTCCCAGGGTCCCCAGGACCCTTGAGTGGTCCGCAAGCCCAGAGCTGTCTGGTGATACTACTAACACATTATTTGCCTTTTTTACTTTCATCCTCTCAGGATGTTTGGTTTTCCGGGGAGTAGGAGATGGGATTAAACAATGGCGTACGTGAGGAAGCAGATGGGAGAATCCGGCTGCTTTCTATTACACCAGACAGATCTGCAAAAGCGTAAGCGTGAAGCGATGCCACTCTAGCTCTTTTTTCTCCCTGACACTGTTAGGAAGAGAACTTTCACAGCACCAAAGTACTCTAGGGAGTCCACTGCTAACGCTGAATGAATAAACGCTATTAAGAGTTCCCATGTGAGCGATCCAGATTGACGTGATCCACATAAACCCAAGTCCTCCAAGGTCTCTTTAAGACAAAGACTCACAATTTTGAGAACTGGGCCGGTGCCGCGGCTCAATAGGCTAATCCTCCACCTAGCAGCGCTGGCATACCGGGTTCTAGTCCCAGTCGGGGCGCCGGATTCTGTCCCAGTTGCCCCTCTTCCAGGCCAGCTCTCTGCTGTGGCCAGGGAGTGCAGTGGAGGATGGCCCAAGTGCTTGGGCCCTGCACCCCATGGGAGACCAGGAGAAGCACCTGGCTCCTGCCTTCGGTTCAGCGCGGTGCGCTGGCCGCAGCACGCCGGCCGTGACGGCCATTGGAGGGTGAACCAACGGCAAAAGGAAGACCTTTCTCTCTGTGTCTCTTTCTCACTATCCACTCTGCCTGTCAAAAAAAAAAAAAAAAAAAAAAAAAAGAGAGAGAGAGAGAACAACTGGCTTGAAGGAAGGACAGGGCAGCGGTGAAAACTCGGGCTCACCAGGGACGGACCTGGTCCCGACTCCGGCCCTGACCCTCAGGCGCTCTGTGCTCCCCAGGAAGGTGATGGCCCCCACCTTCGAGGCGAGCCAGTGAGGTGCCCGTCCTCGCAGCCTCTGCACTGTCCTCTCCAGTCCGTCTGTCTCCCCGCCAGGCCCGGGGCCCCAGGGTCGGGGAGAGGGGCAGGCAAACGCAGTGAGGAGCCCCAGCCTCAGAGATGCCCCGCCTGACCTCCCAGAGACATGCGATCAAGGTGGCGGCAGCCGGGGTGTTCTTGAGCAAACAGCAAACCAAGGCTTCTGCGCCAACCTCCCACGGGCAGCAGGGGTCCCGGAGAAGGCCCCTCACCTCTTGAGGCTCACGATCGAGGCGTTCTGGCCGGCTTTGTTCAAAACCTCGTTCCACTCCTCGTCGTCGCCGCGGATGACGTACCTGGAAAGGAAGGCACGGTCAGAGCTGGCTCGAGAGCAGAGGGGACCCGCGCTGCGAACGCCAGGCCGAGCCGCGTCAGCCCTCAACAGGAGGGCAGTGCTGAGACACACGTGGCTTGGCTCCACCGGACAGAAGCATCCGGGAGCGGGAATGCCAGGCCTGTTCCGGGGGCAGCCCACCCGGCTTCTCGCGTGCACTCAGTCACTGCCCGCCCCAGAAACCTCCAGGCCACTCTCCCTCCAACTTCCTCACTCCCACCTCCAGGCTTCTGCCCCTGTGCCTCTCCCCCTCTCTGCCCTGCCTCGCCTCTCTGGGTCTAGCAGTCCCAGTGAGTCAAGGTTTTTATGTCCCAAAGCTGAGGGCAGAAGCCGGAGCTCGACGCCCTGACGGGACTCCTGGCCATGTCCACCTCACGTGTCCAAAGCCACCATCACTTCTGGCTTGGCAACAGGACAACGGGCACTAAGCACCACAGGACAGCTCCAGAGTTACCCACACGCAGCAACCCACGGGGTGGGGAAAAACACCGCCACAGTGCAAACTCAGAAGGTTCTAGAACAAGTTCTTTTTCTTTTAGACAGAATTCCGTCTCCAAACTTCACATGCAGAACATGACCATTAAGATGGATGCGCATGTGCCAGCTTCTCTCTGCCCAAAGGGTGCTCTGAGGTGGCAGCTCCCCAGGGAGCCCCGACGACCCACATCTGCAAAGGCCAAGCGGCAGAGGTGGTCTGGGGAACCAAATCCTCCACGACCCCACAGAAAGGCTGCCGGGGCGCTGCATGCGGATTCCAAGCACCCTGCTTGCGAGAGCCCAAAAGCTACGCGAGGCGCCGGCTCCGCCTTACTCGGAGAGGTCCATGTGCTTCAGCTTCCCCACTTCCTTCCGGTGCTTCTCCTGGAACTCCTTTGCGGCTTCATCCTGGGGTCGAAGAGCAGAGAGGAGGTGAGAGGTGAGGGGGGTGGAGCAGGAGCCAAGACCCTTTCTCTGCAGTGTACCCCAAGGCCCACCCAGGCACTCTGCTATACTCCAGGACACCAGGGTACTTCACACAGCCCTCGCAGATGGAGTTCAAAGTTACGCTTATTTTGGTGCAAAACAGTTTTGAAATCCATGTGTAGCTTTTCTTCTCAAGCAGCTATGAACTTTTCTCCACGAGCTTTTTGAAAACCCTGCATTTATGCACTTGGGGACTTCGTGTGGCAAAGCAGGTTAAGCCGCTGCCTGCAGCTCGGCATCCTGTTTGAGTCCCAGTTGCTCCACTTCCGATCAAGCTCCCTGCTAACGCACCTGAGAAAGCAGCAGAGGATGGCCCAAGTATGTGGGCCCCTGCACCCACGTGGGAGACCCAGAAGCAGCTCCTGGCTCCTGGCTTCAGCTGGCTCATCTCCGGCCCTTGCAGCCATCTGGGGAGTGAACTAGCAGATGGGAGATCTCTGTCTCTCACTCTAACTACCTTTCAAATACATAAAATTACTTTTAAAAAAATTAAGCACTTAGAAAGTTAGGAGGAAGGACAACTACCAGGTTCCTGCACTCACTCAGCAAAAGGCTGCACGGGCAGGGAGGTGCAGAGAACAGACCCTCGGGGGGACTGGCACCAACGGACCAGCACTGCGCTGGGTGAACACAGAGGACGCTCGGCCCCCACAAGCCAGCGGTGCTGAGGAAACCCGGGGCCCAGGGGCCTTCGGCAGAGACCTACCAGGTCGTCACTCAGAGTCTTCATCGTGGGCTCCATGACCACATCCTTCACAGCCACCATCTGCTCCTCAATGGCCTTTTCCTGCACGTCGTTGAACAGCTACGAAAGACAACGGCGAGAGATGACGGAGCAGCGGGGCCGGTCACCAGGGTGGCCAGGGCCCAAGGGAGCTGGGCGTTTCCAGGACAAGGCAGTGTCTCCAGAGCTGAACACAGACCGGGCACACATCGGATCCATGTCTGTGCACAGAACTTTGCAGGTACTGTGGGTGTGTTAGTGTGTATACCTGCATGTGTGTGCATGCGTGTATGCGTGTACAGGCACCACGTGAAGATCTGTGGCAAACACAGTGAACTGCTGACACCTGTCCGGGAGCAGGTCAGCCATGTCGCCCGAAGACGCCGAGCTCACCTTCACGACCTTGCGGATGACGCGGTTGAACAGTCCCATGAGCTGGCCCGAGGGCAGCTCGATCTCCTTCTCCAGCTGCTCCACGGACTTATGCTGCAGGCCAATCCCCAGGAGAAGAGCCTGCAGGGTGGGAAAGCTGCTGCAGTGGCCCCGGGGTAGGCCCCTCCCCACTAAGATGGCCCTGAGCACCAGAGCTGCCCTCTTTTGGCCAGAGCTACCTGGTACAAAAGACAGGCTGGCGGCGCCTACCCTGCCATCTGCACCTCCATCCTGTTGCTGAAACCACCGAGCAACGCTCCTTCCTCCTGGAGTCCCCAGCCCAGCCTGTACTCCCTGACAGACACCTGCTTCACAACCACACTAAGAGCTCAGGCACCGTGGGGGACGGGGGGAGACAGGTTCAAACTGCAGCCCACCCACTCGCCCACAGCACGGCTGGGTGCGCTCCTCGGCGTTGGAGCCCAGGTTTGTCCAATGAGATGGCTACCACGTCACAGCGCCCAACCGAACACCCAGCAAATGAACACCTCCACCGTCCTTGCTTACTGCCCCCCGCTCCCACCCCCAAACAGCAGGCAACCTACTGACTGGGCAGCAGACAGGGCCAGGTCCCCCAGCTGGTTCAGGAAATACAGGCGGGAGATGGCCGGGATCATGTCCATGATGAGGTGATAGTCGACCATGTTCCAGGAGTACATCTCCAACCGCTTCAGGTCGTAGGGGAGGAAGAACGTATCCAGCTCCTCCCGGCTAAGGGCTGCACACAAGACACAGCCACGTGGGTCAGGTCTGCCCGAGGCCATCGCAGAGCCTGACGGGATTCGCCCCGACAACAGAGGCCATCTGCAGGCGCCTGGCCACCAACCCAAGCCAATCCTGAGCTGGCAGCACGCCCAGCGGAGGCAGCTCCAGGACCGGAGGGCACCTGACTGTGACCCCAGCTCGGAGTTCCTACGCCAACCCGCCAGACCAAGAAAAGGCTCCTCGGGCCTGCGGGCGAGAGGGACACATTTGTTGCTCGTTCTGTCACTTCTTAGGATCCAGCTTCCCAGGAAGTGTGGATGTCCTGCCAGCCCCAGCTTGAGGAACACAGACTGTTCCATGGAAATATAATTGGCAAGAAAGTATCTACACACACACACACACACATATACAGTGAGGGTACTTCGACAAGCTCCTGGAAGAGTCATACCGAAAGAAAAAAATTGGCATGGGTTCAAAAGTTTTGCACCAAAATAATCGACTCCCAATTCCATCTTTCCACAAGCTGGCTGAAGTTCTCTCATGCATATATGCATACCTACATGTATAAAAATAACAGGCAACAAAAACACAGCTACTACTAATGATCCCTCACACATTCTGTTCATTTTCACATTCCACAGCCTCCTAGGATTTATTTACGCACACAAGCACTCACGCACCGGGCCAGAGAAGGCAGAGCCCATGGGACTGCCCTCTCGCCCAGTGCACGGGCAGCCTGAGCTATTCCCAGGTCACAGGACTCAAGCCAGGTTCCACCGTGACCAGCTGCATGAACTTGACGCTGCTGTCAAGCCACATCCCCAAAGTTCTGTCACAGGGTACAGGATGGCGGGGTGCTCAGCGGGTGACTGACAAGGCGCAGGCCTCGCGCCCTGGGCCAGGGCTCTCCCCAGGACACCACGCCTGCCTCCCTCCTTTCACACAACCAAGCCACCAGCAGCCCTCCCCCAACTGCCCAGCTCACCTGGCTGGGCCGGCTTCCCCGCGTGCCGGTTCTGAATGATGTTCAGGGCCAGGGGAGGGGAGAAGGTGCTGAACTGGTAGGAGAGCAAGGCCAGGAACCGCCTTCGGAAATCTGCGGGGCACACAACGGGCAGAGTGAGCGTCTGGAGACCCCCGTCAGCCGGCCATCCCCCTCTGCTCTGCGTTCACCTTTCCAAAAGGCCGCAAGCCAGGCTCCCCGCTCGGCCTCATCCTCGTCGGTCAGCGTCTTCAGCATGATGCACGAGTGTTCTCCAGTCAGGTCATTCTGGGGAACACACACTCCCAATTGGCATCAAGAACCCACTCTTTTAAGGAATATTTATCTTCATCTACTTGAGAGACAGAGTGACATGATGGTGGGGAGGAGAAAGACAGATCTTCCCTCTGCTGGGTCACTCCCCAAATGGCCACAACAGCCAGGGCTGGGCCAGGCCAAGGCCAGGAGCCAGGGACTCCATCTTGGTCTCCCACATGGTGGGTGGGAGCCCAAGCACTTGGGCTATCGTCTGCTGCCTCTCACGATGCATTAGCAAGAAGTTGGACTGGAAGTAGGGGTGCCAGGACTCAAGCCGGCAATCCAACACAGGACGCGGGCATCGTGAGCAGCGACTTCATCCACGCTGTACAATACCTGCCCCTAAGACCCTCTTTTTGGAATGACCAGCACTGGTCAAGGGCAAGCATGCAAAGAAGGAAGGTGTAGTGCTCCTCGCGCTCCCCTTCTTGCCCCGCACAGAGGCCCCCTCTTGCAGCAGAGCCCTCGCCAGCACGTCGTCCCATCACCTCAGCTCACACACAGCATCTTCAAAGATCGCCGACCTGCACCTTCCTGAACAGTGCATGCAGATGGAGCAGACTGCTCAGACCTTTAGGTCTCATTTCTGCTCTGACCCACAGAAGCCAGCCACTTGCTCCTTTTAAGTCATGGGAATTTAAACTTGGGGCCAGCACCGTGACACAGCAGGTTAAGCTGCCGCCTGTGTTGCCAGCATCTCATATGAGGGCCAGTTCCAGTCCCAGCTGCTCTACTTCTTTTATTTATTTATTTATTTATTTATTTGACAGGCAGAGTGGACAGTAAGAGAGAGAGAGACAGAGAGAAAGGTCTTCCTTTGCCGTTGGTTCACCCTCCAATGGCCGCCGCGGCCAGCGCACTGCAGCCAGCACATCGCCCTGATCCGAAGCCAGGAGCCAGGTACTTCTCCTGGTCTCCCATGGGGTGCAGGGCCCAAGCACTTGGGCCATCCTCCACTGCACTCCCGGGCCATAGCAGAGAGCTGGCCTGGAAGAAGGGAAACCGGGACAGAATCTGGCACCTCGACCGGGACTAGAACCCGGTGTGCTGGCGCCGCAGGCGGAGGATTAGCCTAGTAAGCCGCAGCGTGGCACTGCTCTACTTCTGTTCCAGCTCCACTGCTAACATGCCTACTAGCACCTGGGCCCCTGCAACCACGTGAGACACCCAGCTTTGGCCTGGCCCAGCCCTGGGCATTGTGGCCATTCGGGGAGTGAACCAGGGGATGCAAGAGTGGAAGATTTTGGGGCCGAGGCTGTGCTGTAGTAGGTTAAGCCTCCACCTGTGGGCCCCAACATCCTTTATGGGCACCAGTTTGAGTCCCAGCTGCTCCACTTCCAATCCAGCCCTCTGCTGATGGCCTGGAAAAGCAGTGGAAGATGGTCCAAGTCCTTGGGCCCCTGCACTCACATGGGGGACCTGGAGGAAGTTCCTGGCTCCTGGCTTTAGATTGGCCCAGCTCCAGCCACTGTGGCCATTTGAGGAGTGAACCAGCAGATGCAAGACCTTTCTATCTCTTCCTCTGTAACTCTGCCTCTCAAATAAATGGATAAATCTTAAAAAAAAAAAAAAAGAAGAAGAAGAATTAAAGAAAAAAGAATGGAAGATTTTGCTCTCTCTGCCTTCCAAATAAGTTTTTTAAACTCCACATGATCCAGTCAATATGTTTGGTGCCAAACAGTAGACACCCTACAGCCAAAACCCAGAGCTCCCACGCCGGTAGCCAGCTTGCAAACACAGACTGCTCGAGTGCTAAAACAGTAATTACGAGCACACTGGTATCTTCATTCTCAACTACCCGACAACGAAGCACCACAGTATGAAAGTACGTGGGGGACTTCACTGGCGGGCATTCCACATCAGAAACAAGACGCACACAGCACAGACCGCAGGGATGTGCCATCGTCCATGTGGGCGCTCACATCTCCACACCCCCCCGGCAGTAGGCAGCTAGACTTATACTCCAGCCCCGAGCCAGTGCACTGACAAGGACCCAATCTTTCTACAGGCCATGCACACGTGCACGGAAGCAGCCACACACTCAGGATCTCAACCAGGCCCACTTTAAATCCTCTAATGGGCACCTGACCCTGACCTCGGCCACTGGACACTCCTCCCCTCCCTGGAAAAGCAGAAGAGGTCAGAGGGAGCCGTCTTCATCCTCCCAGCACCAAAGCAGAGGCTGACCGACACCTCACTGGCCCACACTCTTCGCCCTCCCTCTGGCTACGAAGGAAGGGGTGGGCCCTCACCTCCTGAGCCCTGCATCCCACTCCCACCCTCCAGGCCTGCACCCCTGCACTCGGCCTCCCTCACCTACAGTCTCTCGGACAGTCTCCATAGGATCACACATGGCAGCAAGCAAACACTAGAATCGCCCACCCATCTCATTCACTCCTCTGCTCCCTTTTGCTACGTGAAGCGATCCCTGTTCCCGTTCGATTCCCTCCCTTCCTGTTCTCCCCAAGCAGAGCGGGCCCTCACCACGCCAACACGTTCATTCAGATCACCAGTGCCGGCCAACCCAGTAGTGGGCAACTCTCGGTCCTGTCCAGACTCGCTCCCTGAACGGCGACCGTCTCCTCTCCCTGAGACACTTCTGAACCCCATCGTGGGCATCGCTCCCCTCTCCCTCACATCAAGGCTGCTCTTTCTCAGTCCCCTGGCTGTCAGTCCTCAGTCCTCTGATGTTCAAGTCCAAGGACTCAACCTCTTCTGCTTTTCAACAGCTTCAAAAGTGTCTCCACTCACTGCGTACAAAGTTACTGAGCGCATGCCGTGTACCAGATGCTACTCAGGTGCAGGGGGACAGCAGGGAACAGAACACCCAGTCCTGCTGGAGCAGACTCTGCTGAGTATGCTGGCGACTCCAGCCCCTGCCTCTTCCTTTAACTCCAAACTCCTGCGCCCCGGGTCTGGCTCCAACTTGAAGGGCTCCCTGGGCAGTCGTGTGACCTGTGCCTGGTTCTCAGCACAGCACAGAAGCACAGAACACTGAGGATTTCCTGTGTTCCCTCTACCACCAAAAATCAGCTTCAGAGCTTGTCCTACTTGTTCACCGCCTGGTTTCCTCAATTTAAATGATCCAGTAGTCATGACCTCTCACCTTCCCTCAGGAACCCTCGGCACCCCCCTCATTCACCCCTTTGCTTTTTAAACAAATTCAAGGAACCCAGATGACACATTCCAGAATCAAATGACCACGTCCATGTACACATCTGCCACTTTCTTATCAAACACCAAGCCAGCTCCGCCTCATATAACACAGAATAAAGTGTGACTGCAGCCTTTCAGGGACAATGGCCATCTTGGTGGCCATCACAGTAACCTTCAGAGCCTCAGAGCACAGTGGCTGCAAGGCACCAGGGCTCCAGGCGAGGCCAGGCCCATCACTAACAGTAACCACAGAGCTAAACACTCCGCCTGATGTCTCACTCACCGGGGTCTGTCTCAGGTAAACAGGAACAAACCCAGCCCGTTTCCAGAACCTGCAAAGAGACAATGAGAATGTATCACGTTGGGACCAGTGCAGCGACACAGCAGGTAAAGCCGCAACCTGCGATGCCAGCATCCCTTATTGGGAGCCGGTTGGAGTCTTGGCAGCTCTGCTTCCTATACAGCTCCCTGCTAACGTGCCTGGAAAAGCAGCAGAGGATGGCCCAGGGTCTTGGGGCCCTACAGCCAGGTGGGAGATCCGAAGAGGCTCCTGGCCATTTGGGAAACAGACCAGCGGATAGAAGATCTCTAACTGTGCCTTTCAGATAAATAAATCTTCAAAGAGAGAGAGAGGGAAAGGGAATCTAGCACCATGTGTCCTCTGGGGAGTAGCTGAGTGGCGAAGCCAGGCAAGGAGAGCCCACATACAACCAAGGCCGATGCTGGCTCGCAGTGGATACCCAGCTCGCAGCTTGCTCCTTTCTCAGCGCCAAGGAGGAGCAGCGCCAGGGAACCAAGGCAGGCACACTTACTTGAGGAGCCGGGGTGTCAGGCCATAGGACACACCCAGGTAGTCCAGGCGCTCAGCAGGCCTCTCGTTCAGCTTGAGGAGTAGAGGCGGCAGGTCTTTCCGAGGAGTGACGACCTCTTCCAACAGGCTGACAGCCTGGGGAGATGGTGGGGAGAATACTGCCCACTTAGCAGAGGGATGCCGGTCAGTGGCACTGTGAAGCACTCCAGCCACAGCAGGCTCGGGACTCGACACCCATGCGATCACCCATGAGCCCAGTGATCATTCCCCAGGAAACCAAAACGCCCAAACTCTGAGCCCAACATGCAGAGAAATGGCCAGAGGGTTCAACAATGCCGAAGGGACAGGGGTAGGGTTCTAGAGGTCCAGCATGGGCTCCTGGCTCTGTCACCCAACTGCCCCAGGACTTTGGCAGGTGACAAACTCTGGGCCTGAAACTCAATGAAAGCTCCTTCCCCGTCACCCCATGAAAATCCATGAATGTGTGTGAAAGCTGTCCGTGCTGGGAGCCTTAATCACTATCAACGAAAGACACCGTCCCACCATCTGGGGGTGGTCCTGAAGAGGGGGCTGCACAGCAAGGGTTCTTAGACTTCAACTGCAGTAGGGCCCCCTGGGGAGCTCATTAAGCCAGATTCCTAGGGTTTCTCATTCTGTAGGTTTGGGGTGGGGCTGAGAACTGGCAAATGGCCAGGCGATGCTGGTCTGAGGACCTCAACAGAAGCACTGGCCTGGAGAGCGCAGCAGCTGCTGCAGAACCAGAGCGGAGTCCGGACCTCTGCACAGTCCTCCCTGCTGCTCCCGAACACCCCGAACCAGCACCGCCATCCCACCCGAACATGCTCACCTCGCTGTTCACGGTGTGAATCTCCTGGGATGTCTCCAGGACCTTTTCCTCCAGACAAGGGAATCTGCCTTCGTAGTACATCTGCAGCAGCTGCAGCGCACGGCTGCCGTAGCCCATCTGTAAGCACCCACAAACGGGGAAGGGTGCGAGACGTTCTCAGTCTGTCTGAGCCATGTGCACTCCCCGCCCCGAGCAGGAGAGCCTTCATCCCGGTCACACTGCACTTGGCAGCCAGGGCCACAGAAATCCCTCCACAGGCTGGTGGAGGCTCTGGAGACCGGAAGTGGTGTGGCCGTGTTCCCGACCTGGCCTAGCCCATGGAGAACAGCCCGTGTGCCACCGTGGGGATGGCGGCTGGCTGTGCTTTCCGGTCCCCACACAAATCCCAGAGGGGGACTGTTTCCTTCCGGGTGACAGAAGGCGATCACAGGAAGATGGAGCACCCACTATCAGCCTGGCCACCCTCCCTCCCTGAACCTGACCAACAGAACAGCCTGCAACTCTACTTGCTTCTGGACCAGCACATCTGCCCTAAAGAGCCACACAACTGCAGCTGGCAGCACACAGATTTGAGGTGGGAGGACACGTTACCCCTTGATAATCCGGGTGAACAGCGATGCGAACGACCCGACCACCAGAAAGGCCGCCGAAGTCCGGATCCTGAAACTGTGCGAGACACAAGCCAGTTAACTCAGCCACACCCAGGTCCCCCCACCCCCCCCAGCTTCACCCACACATGGGCCGGGGAAAGCCCATCACCTGCTCAGACACTGTCCACGGAATCAGGTCCCCCGAGGCCTTCTTGCCTCGAGACAGGCTGTTCAAGATGGACTGGCGAGAAATCTCCCCCTCAAGGCACACCTGTGGGGAAGCAGGCCCACCAAGCTCCACATCGGAATCCACTCATGAAACACCAGCACTTTCAGTGTTTCCGACTAGGTCGGCTATTTCCACCCCCAGCTGTAACTATGAAACCAACTGAATCACTTCTTATAGATGCTTCACGGCTGTTTTCGTAACAAGGCTGAACACTAACCCCTGCCTGCCCACAGAAAAATAAACCTTCTCAGAAGACGGTTCCATGCAAGTGGTGCACGTGCATGTGTAGACATGGGGTGCTCACACGGCTCTGCACACAACAATGCAAATTCAAGAAACTCACCTGTCTAATACAAGAATGGTTACACACAGGTTTGGGTACATGCACGTAAGAAATACTACACAGCTTTGAAAAATTACATAGCTCACGACTATTTAATGCACTGCCTTTGAAAAGCAGACTACTTGGGACGGCTTGGGATGGTTACATCCCATATAGAAGTGTCTGTGTTGAAGTCCCAGATCCCTTTTTTAAATATTTATTTAGTTGAAAGGGAGAGGTAGAGGCCAAGAAAGAGAAGTCTTCCATCTGCTGGTTCACTCCCCAAATGGAGCTGCGCTGATCCAAAGCCAGGAGCCAGGAGCCTCATCCAGGTCTCCTATGTGGGTGCAAGGGCCCAAGGACTTGGGCCATCTTCCACCACTTTCCCAGGCCATAGCATAGAGCTGGATTGGAAGAGCAGCAGCTGGGACTCAAACCAGCACCTATATAAGATGCTGGCATTGCAGGCGGCAGTTTTACCTGCCACACCACAGCGCCGGCCCAGCTGGCTGCCAGTGCATGCCCCAAGAGGCAACAGGTGATGGCTCAAGTAGTTGGACTCCTGCCACCCATGTAACTAACCTGCGTTCTTGCTTTGGCCTGGTCTAGTCACAGCTGAAGCATGCATTTGGGGAATAAAAGCAGATGGCAATCTGTGTCTGTCTCATTGTCTCTGCTTTTCAAATAAAATTTAAAAAAATTTTAAAGACGATTAAATACTGTGACTGTAATTTTATGAAAAAGAAAATGACACAGATACATGCAGGCCAGATGTTAAAAACACTTTTCCCTCCAATCTGCAGGCTTTGATTTTACAAGTGCCAGGTGTTGCTTGTGTGATAAAGCAGGGGAAACAAACAAGTTCTGCTCAGGGAAGAAGCTGTAATACCGGTGGCCAGCCCTGGCTCTTCCCCACCGTGAACCACGGACTCTGGTTTCCGGTGGTAGTGGCTTCCTCTACTGCACCCTGACTGCCCACCTCCACAGACCCGGCCACGCGGCTCCCGCCTAGGACTTGAAAGCATCCCCTCTCATGTTGACGCACACGTGCTTCCCCAGTCAGGGTCCCACGGCCGCCTCTGCTCCCGTACCTGGATGACGGCAAGCACTTCGGGAAGGGCATTCTGGGTGGGGGGCACAGGAGGCAGAAGGCAGAAGAGATGGTGAGCAGGTGCATCCGAAAGCATCTGGAGGTCGTTGGGAGAGTTCTGTAGGGTACAACACAGGTCAGCGAGGCTGGGTTTGCAATCACAGGTGACGGGGCCCTGCCTTCCCCACGGCCGAGGCAGGGCTGGGATCTAGTGAAGCCTGAGGTGCCTCACAAAGGCTCAGGCAGCACTGGGGTTCAGACACTGGCTGCCGCCCAGGTGCACGGCTACACAGAACCACGCTTGTGTGGCGGAGGTGAACGTTCCCAGGTAAGAGGCTGCTACTTCCGGAGAAGCCATCACCCGCTCCAACCCCTGGAACTTCCCGCTAAAGGCCGTTCACAAAACGCCACCTACATCCTCAGAAAGTATCCTTTCCCGCTGCCCTTTAGTCTGTAAGGTCTCAGGCCGTCTAAGGCCTCAGTCGCACTCTCAGAGATGGCTCAGCAGCTGGCCTCAGAGCGACAGCACCGCCAGCCTACGACAGTGACGGCACTGAGGCCCGGGAATCTCGCAGGCAGACCAACAGCGGGTCTTCAGAAGAGGCGAGGCTGTCTGCCCTCGCTGGCCACCCCAGCTGGAGCTACCCGCCAGACTCCACATTCCACCAGCACAGCTGCGAGCCCTCCAGGCCCGCCCACCGCAGCAACCACAACCCCTCCAGCTGCATCGCCAGATCCTGCGGAGGTCGGGGCACGGAAGTCCATGCCAGCAGCACGGTCACCGGAGCCACCGGTCACAAAGCATGGGAGAAGCCAAGAAAAAGAGGGCAGCCAAGTGCTGTAACTCCGCAGAGGGCTAGCTGCACTTACCTTGTAGTGGGAAGCCACGTAGAGAGCCATGAGCCGCTGAAGGAAAACCTCGGAGGCCTTGTGGTAGCAGAAGAGGGTATCTCTGTTGACATAGTAGCTGTGTCTGGAGTTAAGCAACTACACCATATGCAACAAACCAGAGCACCCTACACAGGCCACCCCAGGAGGACAAGGGCTTTGCTCGGCCTGGGAGGAGGAACCCAGGGTACTGAGCAGAAACACGGCGTTAGGGGGACAACTGCTCGACTTTCCCCTGTGCCTCACGCAACGTCCTGTGGAACCAAGGGTGGAAGCCCTTTTCCTTTGAACCTCAGCACCCCCTCGCCCATTCCCAGCGCAACCCAGAGGAGGATACAGCTCACAGGCCTCGGGCAAGGGGCAGCCCGAGATGATGCGTGTGATGTTGAGGCAGTCGAGGCACAGCAGGTCGTTGAGCCACTTCTCCACCGCGTCCCCAGGGGCGTACCGGATGGACTCCTGCAGGGACACCTCATGCAAGGTGCGCGCTGCTCCCCATCAACCATACACACAACAAGAAACGGTCAGTAAACACAGACTTCTTAGGAGAGCAAGAAGGCTGTGCCACGCCATCCTCGTCGCACAGTGCCCGGACACGTGCAGCTCAGAAGTTACACCGGGTTCAACTGTTCTGGGGACCTTCAACTCGGCCAGTGCCAAAGAGAGCTCCGAGTCAGAGCCACCTGTTCTGAGATGGGGACAGTTCAAGGTCTGATCACCCCAAGGCCCACGGCTGGCCCCATCTCTTCTCTGAACAGCCATCCAGTGACAAGTGAATCAGTTCTTGGGGGCTCAACCTCTCTGCCTTGTGCTGGGAAGGTTTGGTGCTGCCATGACGTCACAGGGGAGCAAGGATTCAGCAAGAATCCAAGGGGCCTCGCTGTGGACTGCAGGGCCCAGGGCAGGGTTCCCAGGGTACCTGATGCCAGCCTGGCCGTCGTTGTGGTCTTGTTCTCAGCCGTGGTGCTGACCTGGCTCTGGGCACTCTGCTGCCGGAGCTGCTGAATTAGCTTGAGGGACAGGGACCGGCCAGTTCCTTCATAGCTGTGAGAAAGTTGAAGGCAATCAGCCACGAGGCCTCCAGTCCACTCTCGGGACGGGGACAGAGCCACTTTCTGGAGCCTGCCGAGACACCTTCCGCTGTTCCCAGGGACAGCCATGCTCGCTGCTCCACCTTCAGTGCAGCGCACACACACACTCACTCACTCACGTCCATCTCATAGCCCTGGGGCCTAGACTCAATCTCGGGTCACCTACTCAGTACCTGCGGCTCTTGTAGCCCCATCCTTAAAAACAGATTCTTCTACCACCTTTCAGGACTATGACATGAAATAAAACTCTCAGGACTGAAAAGATGATTACGTAAAGCCCTCAGCAGACACTGCATAAATATTTCCTCTTTAGGGCCGGCACTGTGGCACAACAGATTAAAGCCCCAACCCGTGGCACCAGCGCCCTATATAGAAGCTGATTCGAGTCCCAACTGTTCCACTGTTGATCCAGCTCCCTGCTAATGCACCCAGGAAAGCAGCGGAGGATGCCCCATGTCCTTGGACCCCTGCACCCACATAGGAGACCCAGAAGAAGCTCCTGGCTCCTAGTTTCTGATCAGCTCTAGCCATTGCAGACATTTGAGGAGTGAACCAGCAGATGGAAGACCTCTCTGTCTCTACTTCTCTCTGTAATTCTTTCAAATAAATAAATCTTTAAAAAAAACAAACTTCTTAAACACTACTTTTAAAGGATGATCACAAAGTTGGAATTTTGAAGTATGTACTCCCCCCATAACAAAGCTCTTCCAAAAAAATTCTATTTACTTCTTTAAAAACAAAATGCAAGAGTAAGCACAAGTAACAGAGCTTAAATTAAAACCTTTTGGTTTAAAGAACATTATGAAGAAAACAAAATAAAAGTTTTGTAAATCATGTATCTGATAAGGGAGTATATCTTGAACATATAAAGAACTCAATACAGTTCAACAGACAAATAATCCAATTAGAAAAGTGAGCAGAGAACCTAAATAATCCTCTAAAGAAGACATAAAATGACTAGTAAATCTGAAAAGATACCCAAGTTCATACTCATTAGAGAAATGCAAATGAAGCCCAGGAAATACCACTTCCCACTCACTAGAAAGATCATGATCAAAAAGACACACGAGTGTTTGAGAGGATGTGGAAAAACTGAATCTTCATACACTGATGTGGGAATGTAAAATGGCATGGCCGTTCCAGTTTCCTGCTAATGCACACCCTGGGAGGCAGCAAGTGAAGGGTTCAAGTAGCAGGGTCTCCAACACCCACAGGAGATTGAGTTCCTGGCTCCTAGCTTCAGCTGCAGCCTGGGCCAGCACTGGTCGCCGCAGGTGTTTGGGAGTGAACCAATGGATGGGAGATCTGGCTTACCTCCCCATCCCTCTGTCTTTCAAATAAGACAGTTTTTAAAACACTGAGGCAGATAGGCATCTGGTACAATGATTAAAACATCATGTGGGGAGGCCAACCTCCCACATCAACGAGCCTGGTTTGAGTTCTGGCTCCACTTCCAATCCAGCTTCTGCTAACATGCTAATGTGCACCCTGGGAGGCACCATTATGTCGCTCCCCGTCTTCGTGGAGGAACGACACAGGACCCTGCGCTGTTCTTTCGTCTGCTCGGCCCTCCCCGGGTTTGCTGCTGGTTCTTCCCGGGTTGGCTACTATCCCTTCCACCTCCGTGGAAGGGCGGTTCCCCCTGGCCGCATTCCCCACTTCCGCAGGGGAGCGGCACACCGCCGGCCGGCTTTCTCGGGGGGCTGCACGGGTGTTCCTTCAGCTAGATGTTCCCCTTAGATGTTCCCTAGTGCATGCCGTCTCTCTCCTCCTTTATAGTCCTCCTCTGCCAATCCCAACTCGGCTGCCCACACGCCGAGTACGCTGCTCTCCTCCAATCAGTAGCAAGTCCTACAGTTTATTGGTTGAACTGGAGGCAGCTATGCGGAAGCTGTTTACTTCTCTCCCAGCGCCATATTGTGGGAGAGCAGATGCATAGAATAAGTCTTAATTCCAGTAACTCAGTCTAGTCCGGTTTGCTCCCCACAGATCCCCCTTTCTTTTTATTTTTGGCATTGATACGCGCCTGTCTTCGGTGCCCCGTGGGACACACTCTGCTCTACTTGCTAGAGTTGCCACAGGTTCTTACACGTCCTATCAATTAGGCAAACCGAATCCGGGTCCTCTCTTCGCCATGTTGTGAGGAGGTTTTTAGGCGCTGATGCGTGCCTGTGTTCGGTGACCTGCGGCTCACACTCTGGTCGAGCCGCCTGCTGGCGCTTACCGCCTTAATCAGGCAGACCGAATCCAAGCTTTCTCATTGCCGTATTGTGGGGGAGACTTATTAGTGTTGGTTCGTGCCTATCTTCGGTGACCTGCAGCTCATACTCTGGTCGAGCTGCCTGCTGGTGCTTATCGCCTAATCAGGCAGACCGAATCCAAGCCTTCTAATTGTTGTATTGTGGGGAGGCCTTACTGATGTTAATTCGTGCCTGTCTTCGGTGGCCTGCGGCGCATAAGCTGCTAGCCGCCGCAGGTGCTCATCGCCTCACTTAATCAGGCAGACCGAATCCAAGCTCTCACATTACTGTGTTGTGGGGAGGCCTTTCTCTTTCTCTATTTCTCTATCTCCGGGCATTCCTATTTCTCCCATTTTACTTCTGTCTGCCAGCATTCCTATTTCTCTCCTTTTACTTCTAAACTTCTGTTTCTCTTATCCCTGCGGCCTCCTGGCGCCTCGCCCTGCCGGCAGGCTCCGCCCCGAGGCTACTTCTCGGCGCCTCGCCGGCTCTGAGCCGCTTCAGCCCGCGCCTCTCTCATCTGCGCGGCTCGGCTTTGCGCGCACACTCCGCGGTTACTCACTAGCCCTTTCGCGTCTGAACCACGGCCTCGCGCCAGCCCCGCGTTCCCTATCTATTCACACCCCGTGCTCTCTGCACGCGGTGGCTTCCGCGAGTCACACAGCGTAGCTTGCGTCTCCGCCACTAGCATTCAATCCAAGTTCCCCGGGCTAGCCTGGAGAATTCAACCCAGCTTACGTCTCCGCCCCACGGTTTGGCTTCCCGTCCTTTGCTCCCCGGGCTAATCAGACGGATCCCAATCCGGCTTACGTTTCCGCTTCTGGTTTCAACTTTTCGCCCCCTATTCCCGGGCTAACTTGAGAATCCCAAAGTGGCTTTCGTTTCCGCCTCGGCCTGCCCCCCGCGGCTTCAATTTCCCTAACACTTTTCTCTACCCGGTATGTTTCCCCAAGCTTTCTTCCAACAATACTCCTCCCTCATTTCTCCTGGCCTCTCCCCACAGTCCGCATCCGAGTCTGTTTGTTCTAGCTTTCACTTTCGCTTTCGACCTTAGAGATTTCTCCCAGCTTCCCCCCGTAGTCCGTATCCGAGTCTATGCCTAGGCTTTCAATAGCTCCTTCCGGCACCTTTTTCGTCCGGCTTTTCCCTAGGCTGTTTGCTAGTCTCTCTCTCCGATATTTTCCCAGTTCTTCCCGTTTCTTCCCTCCTAAGTTTCCTATCCGTCCTAGGTTTCCTATCTGTTCTAGGTTTCCTATCCGAGTCACGGCACCATTATGTCGCTCCCCCTCTTCGTGGAGGAACGACACTAAACCCTGCCTAGGCTTCATATCCGAGTCACGGCACCATTATGTCGCTCCCCCTCTTCGTGGAGGAACGACACTGAACCCTGCCTAGGCTTCATATCTGAGTCACGGCACCATTATGTCGCTCCCCGTCTTCGTGGAGGAACGACACAGGACCCTGCGCTGTTCTTTCGTCTGCTCGGCCCTCCCCGGGTTTGCTGCTGGTTCTTCCCGGGTTGGCTACTATCCCTTCCACCTCCGTGGAAGGGCGGTTCCCCCTGGCCGCATTCCCCACTTCCGCAGGGGAGCGGCACACCGCCGGCCGGCTTTCTCGGGGGGCTGCACGGGTGTTCCTTCAGCTAGATGTTCCCCTTAGATGTTCCCTGGTGCATGCCGTCTCTCTCCTCCTTTATAGTCCTCCTCTGCCAATCCCAACTCGGCTGCCCACACGCCGAGTACGCTGCTCTCCTCCAATCAGTAGCAAGTCCTACAGTTTATTGGTTGAACTGGAGGCAGCTGTGCGGAAGCTGTTTACTTCTCTCCCAGCGCCATATTGTGGGAGAGCAGATGCATAGAATAAGTCTTAATTCCAGTAACTCAGTCTAGTCCGGTTTGCTCCCCACACCAGATGACGGTTCAAGTACCTGAATCCCTAGCAACTCCATGAGACACCCAGATTTGAGCTCCTGGCTTTAGTCTGATCCTCGCTGTTACAGGCATCTGGGCACTCAGACAGAAGATATCTCTATCTCTGCCTTTCAAATAAAATGAAAATACATAAAAAAAAATTTAAGATTTACCTATTCATTTGAAAGGCAAGATGACCAAGAGAGGGCGGGGAAGACAGAGATCATCCATCTGGTGGCCTACTCCTCAAATGGCAACAACAGCCAGATCTGGGCCAGACCAAGGCCAGAAGCCAGGAACTCCATCTGAGTCTCCCACGTGGGTGGCAGGAGCCCAAGTACTTTGGACCATCTTCTGCTTTCCCAGGCACATCAGCAAGTAGCTAGACAGGAAGCTGGGCAGCCAGGGCTCAAACTGGTGCTCCAATATGGGATGCCAGCGGGGCTGGCCATGAGGTGTAGCAGGTAAAGCCACCACCTGCAACATCAGCATCTCATTTCAACACCAGTTCGAGTCCTGGCTGCTCTACTTCTGATCCAGCTCCCTGCTGCTGGCCTGGGAAAGGCAGTGGAAGATGGCTCAAGAACTTGGGTCCCTGCCATCGACATGGAAGACTCACAAGAAGCTCCTGGTTGGAGCCGGTGCTGTGGCTAGCGGGTAAAGTCGCCGCCTGCAGTGCCAGCATCCCATATGGGCGCTGGTTCAAGTCCTCGCTGCTCCTCTTCCAATCCAGCTCTCTGCTGTGGCCTGGAAAAGCAGTGGAGGATGGCCCAAGTCCTTGGGCCCCTGTACCCACATGGGAGACCTGGAAGAAGCTCCTGGCTCCTGGCTCCAGATCAGCACAGTTCTGGCTGTTGCGGCCATTTGGGGAGTGAACTAGCAGACAGAAAACCTTTCTATCTCTCCCTCTCACTGTCTGTCACTCTACCTCTCAAATAAATTAAAAAATATATATAATTAACTAAGATGTGATTTCCATACAGAAATCTTTATAATGAGAAGATGTATATAACCAATTTCCAAACAGTTCATGGAGAATGGTTATGAGAAAACTACACACGAATTTCAAATATTTTTGTGCCAAAAATAATCTTTCAATTCTGTTTCCCACAAACTTTTTCAGATATTCATGTTTATTGACCTGGAAGATTTTCACAGTATATTGCTATGTAACAAAACAACCTTTTGGCCGGCGCCACGGCTCACTAAGCTAATCCTCCGCCTGTGGCGCCAGCACCTCAGGTTCTAGTCCTGGTTGGGTCGCCGGATTCTGTCCCGATCGCTCCTCTTCCAGTCCAGCTCTCTGCTGCAGCCCAGGAGGGCAGTGGAGGATGGCCCAAGTGCTTGGGCTCCTGCACCTCCATGGGAGACCAGGAAGAAGCACCTGGCTCCTGGCTTCGGATCAGCGCAGCGCTGGCCATGACAGCCATTTGGGGGGTGAACCAATGGAAGGAAGACCTTTCTCTCTGTCTCTCTAACTCTGCCCCCCCCCCCAAAAAAAAACACAACCTTTTAAATGATATGTTCTTTTTCCAGATGAAAACATAAAATAAATGCAGGGAAAATGTACACCAAAATTTTAGCAGAAGCTTTCTCTACATGTTTGGATTAAGATGGTTTTTCTTTTGTGGACTTAAATATTTTATTTTTATTTGAAAGGCAGAGTGACAGAGACCTTGATCTGCTATCATCTGGTTCACTCACCAAATGCCCATAAAGGTAGGAGCTGCCCCAGACCAAAGCCTGGAGCCAGGAACGCAATCCAGGTCTCCCACACAGATAATAGGAACACAATCACAGGAGCCATCACCACTGCCTCCTGCAGTCTGCGTTAGCAGGAAGCTGGGGACAAGAACTGCAGTCTAGGGCCAGAGCCATGCGTAGTGGGTTAAGCCTCTGCCAGTGATGCTGGCATCCCATATGGACACAGGTTCAAGTCCCAGCTGCTCCACTTCTGATCCAGCTCTCAGCTGTAGCCTGGGAAAGCAGTGGAAGATGGCCCAAGTCCTTGGACCCCTGCACCTGCATGGGAGACCCGGAAGAAGCTCCTAGTTTTGGACTTGCCCAGCCCTACTCGTTGTGGCCATTTGGGGAGTGAACCAGCAGATGAAGATCTTTCTTTCCTTCTCTAACTGTAATTCTGCTTCTCAAATAAATAAATCTCTTAAAAAAAAAAAAAATGGAGTTCAATATAAAACACAGAAACTTGATGTTGGACATGAATATGTTAACTGCCAAGCTAAATGCCTGCCTCAAGATGATTTTTCTTTGGCTTACCTGTTTTACAAATTTTTCCATAGCAAATATGAACTAAGTACTACAAACTTTTAAAAACATGACCACAGGACCAGTGCTATGGCATAGTAGGTTAATCCTCCACCTGCGGTGCTGGCATCCCATCCGGGCACCGGTTCAAGTCCCTGCTGCTCCTCTTCTGATCCAGCTCTCTGCTATGGCCTGGGAACGCAGCAGAGGATGGCTCAAGTGCTTGGGCCCCTGCACCCACTTGGGAAACCCAGAGGAAGCTCCTGGCTTCAGATCATCCCAGCTCCAGCTGTTGTGGTCATTTGAGGAGTGAACCAGTGGTAGCGGATGGAAGACTTTTCTGTCTGTCTCTCTCCCACAGTCTGTAATTCTACCTCTCAAATAACTTTAAAAAAGTGACCATGCCTGTAGTCAGGAAACACTAGGCTCTGAAATTCCTCAGTGTTAGGCTGCCTATTTAACATCAGACCAGAGGCAGGTTACAGTGTATCAAGAGGCCAGCTCCAGTCTGCAGAAGACCAGGGAAGGATGCAGCAGCCCCAAGGAGTCAGACTTAAGTTTCACAGGCCCAGGCCACGTTACTATGTACCACCTAATCTGTAAGGACTTACAACGGGAGTAGGACTGCCACCCATGGTGCCTTACCCGTTGATGGTAGACGCCATGAAGACAAGGTAGGGGCCAAGCAGGCTCTTGACGAGGGGAAGGGGGATGGCGGCAGCTTCATCAATCACAACAAGCTCAGCCTGGCCCAGTTTCACAGCATCTGCAGGATGTATATACTGTGGAGAGGGAAAATGTAGGTTATCAGCCTGGCCAGGTAATGCCCCATCTATGCTTTACCAACAACTCATCATCGGGGCTGCTGCTCCTTTCCATTTTCTCATGGCAAAGCAAGAACGGAACAGGCCTTGGGGCCAGCGTTGTGGCACAGTGAGTTAAGCAGCTGCCTGCAATGCTAGCATCCCATAGAGGCACAGGTTCATGTCCTGGCTGCTCCGCTTCTGATCCAGCTCCCTGTTAATGTGCCTGGGAACACAGACGAAGAAGGCCCAAGTGCTTGAGTCCCTGCATCCACATGGGAGACCCACAGAAGGAGTTCCAGGCTCCTGGTTTTGGCTCGGCTCAGTCCCAGACATTGTGGCCATTTGGGGAGTGAAACAGTGTATGAAAGATATCTCTCTCTCTGCATTTCAAATAAATCTTTAAAAAAAAATTTTAAAGTGGTTTAAAAGGGGCTGGCACTGTGGCTCACTTGGTTAATCCTCTACCTGGGGCACTGGTATCCTACATGGGCACCGGTTCTAGTCAGGAGACCGGGAAGAAGCACCTGGCTCCTGGCTCCCGATCGGTGCAGCTCTGGCCATTGCGGCTATTTGAAGAATGCACCAGTGGATGGAAGACCTTTCTCTGTCTCTCCCTCTTACTGTCTGAAACTCTACCTCTCAAATAAATTAAAAAATCTTTAAAGAAAAAAAAAGTGGTTTAAAAAAGGCCATGAGGAGGTATTTCATGGGAAGGACAATTAGCATAAACAAAGATGACCCCACCTCCCCAATCATCAGTGAACCACTGAAGACTAGGAGACACCGTTTCACTTAAAGACAGGCAAAACCAACACAGCTGTACAACAGTGCTGGAGAGACTTGGCCAAACAGAAACTATGAAAAATGCCCGTATGAAGGGAAACCATTATGAATACCTTAAAGGAGAATTTAGCAAAATCCCAGAAATCTGAAAACCTATATATATGCCAAAACCCAACCATTCTGCTTCTGGAAATAAAAAAATAAACTGTAGAATACTAATACAGTGTTTAAGAAAGAATCAACCAGATCCACAAGTTTTAACCTGGACACATCTTAAAAAAATTCTTAGTGTTATTTGAGAAACATAATGAGCGAGCTCCTATCTGCTGGTTCACTCAACAAATGCCCACAACAGCCAGGACGGAAGCCACAAGCTGGGAACTCAATCCAGGTCTTCCACAGAGGTGCCAGGGACTCAGCGACTGGAGCCATCACCTATTGCCTCCCAGGGCCACATGGCAGGATTGTAGAATCAAGAGCCAGAGCCAGGTATCAAACCCAGGTACTCTGATGAGATGTGCCCATCTTAACTGTTAAGCCCAATGCTCACTCCTGAACGTGTCTCAAAAACAAATGCCGAGCCGGCGCCGCGGCTCAATAGGCTAATCCTCCGCCTAGCGGCGCCGGCACACCGGGTTCTAGTCCCGGTCGGGGCGCCGGATTCTGTCCCGGTTGCCCCTCTTCCAGGCCAGCCCTCTGCTGTGGCCCGGGAGTGCAGTGAAGGATGGCCCAGGTGCTTGGGCCCTGCACCCCATGGGAGACCAGGAAAAGCACCTGGCTCCTGGCTCCTGCCATCGGATCAGCGCGGTGCGCCGGTCGCATCGCGCTGGCCGCGGCGGCCATTGGAGGGTGAACCAACGGCAAAGGAAGACCTTTCTCTCTCTCTCACTGTCCACTCTGCCTGTCAAAAAAAAAAAAAAAAAAAAAAAATGTCGAGTGTAACTAGATGAGCTGAAGGAGGACAAGAACAGTGTGTTGCCCTTTACAGACGCATACTATGTAACAGAAAACACAAACACAGCAACTGCAAGGAAACACGGCCTCAACCCAGAATCAAGTTACCAACAGGGAGGGACACAAGGCATGAGCAGAGGTATAGGAGGGACTTCCACTCTATCTGCAAAGCTTACCTAAGACAAAAATAGAAACGACTTTCACATATGAAAGAAACGCGGCAAGCAGCAAAACGCCAGTGTTTCTCAAATATGAGTGCTGGGCACCCGAGTGTCACAAAGCTACCCTGCACTTCCCAGGGCAGCTAAAGTACTTCACCGCGAGCCACCTTTTCCAACCACATCGCCAGAGGACACGGGTCACGGAGGTAGCGACCCGGCCCACCCCGAGCAGCACCACACCCCCCCACATCGGGCCCCACCGCATTCTTCAGGTGATAGGTAAACCAGCACGTCATCAAAGCAGCCCACAGGAGGCGCCAGGCCACGTTCCATCGTTGCCTTCTCCATGTCTAGCAAGAGGCGGGGGCTCAGTCAAGTCACCCCCGTGTGCCTCTCCTGCAGGCTGCAGACAACAGCACTCTGGCAACCAGAGAGTGCATCCGGTTACAAATTCAAGGACGAGAAGGGCCATGCTAGGGCACTTCAAGGAAACGGTTTCCTCCTCCGGATTCTGTACCTTCCTGAGTTTTAACAGGCCTCTGCATTCTGCCTTGCAGCCTGCCTCCATCCCCGCCCCAACCCACGTCATCAATCTTTCCTCCCCTCAGCTGAGAGAATCAGGCCCAAGTGGGAAGAAATGTATACGAGGAGATTCTAGGAGACAGTAAGAATCAAACAAGATCCTTAAGGCAAAAGGCATAAACACTTAACCTCGTTTACAACCTGGACTCTCAGATAAAAGCATACCTCTCTGACAAGCATACCCATACACTTGGAAGGGTATATACTGCCAAGTTCACCTGGCTCACTTCCCACCCCCACCCTACTCCAAATACAATCAATGAGCCCACTCCAGTAAGAGCCCATTAATCTCAGTCCCCCCCGTGAGCTGTCACAGGACGCTGCTCTTAGAGATTTCACAGAATTGAGCTCTGGACGAGCACAGGCCACTCAGGCTTGCAGAGTGCTGGAGATTTATAGAGCTTTTGGGAAAACAGTTTTAAAAGGAAAACAGGCCACTGGCTAAACCACAAAGATGCGGAGCACATTTGGCAAAGTTCTTTTTTCATTTAAATGGCGAGGTTATTCTTCTAGCTACAGAGGGACCATTTCAGAACCTGCAGTAACTCAGCCACGTTAGAACTGACTGATGTCAGAACAATTTTTTTTGCCCCCTTTCTCATTCCACATTCAAAGGACAAGACTACAACTTTCCAGTCTGGCTACACTGGCTTCATTGTCCTTTAGAAGAGACAAATTTTGAACAGGTTTATCATAAACAGCAACACGATGAAGGGACATGCAATTACAGAGCCCACAATGCCTGCGAAAGGATACATCTCCACGGCCTCACCTGAATGGTCTGCCTATGCTCCCGGAACACGTTCACTCTGATCACGGCTTTGTTAAACTCAGGATTGAGAGACTGAATGATTTCATAATCCAGATGCTCCTGGCGGGCGCAAAGGAAAACCAATGGCAAACTTTAGCAACCAAATATTAAGAAAGCAAGCATTCTGAAGTCTAAAGACTTCCCCTGGACTTCAGCTCAGCACTGAACCAAAGTCAGCCCTCATCCCAGCTTCCTACCTGATACTGCAGAGCGTCGAATCCTTTAAATACAAATTCGAACAAGGTGTGCAGGTTATCGGGGCTCGGGGAGGTAACAAAAATGTTGGAGTACCTACAGAACGAAGAGGAGGATGGCTGAGAAATGGAGGACTCTTTAAAGCAATGTCGTTTAGAGAAGAAAACTTTGGTTTGCTCCTGTCATACAGGTGATAACTGGAGGCAACAGCAGGGAAACAGGTCAGGATGCTTTTGGGGCAGAAACATGAAGCGACTGCCCAGGCCCGAGTCAGGTTCTCCTTCCCAGGTAGGTAGCAAGTTCAGGCAGTTAGCTGCCACATGTGTGAAAGCAAACTGCTGAGAAGCACTGTGGGAGACACCACCACCCCCCTCCCCGCATGCAGAAACCCATATGGCACTCCCCAGCCCAGGGCCCTGCCACCAGGGGGATGGCCTCCTGCTCACACGAGCTGTGCTGAAGCCGGAGAGCTCCTGCACACTCAGGCCAAGGCCGCAGCCAGCCTCCAGGACCCTTGATGCAGGAGAGGGTGCTGGCAGCTCAGACGGAGCAGCAGGAAAAACAAAGAGCTAGGAATCAAGAGCTGAGCTCAGGCCCCAGCTCTCCCAGCACCAACCTGCTGGGAGATCTTGGAGAAGTCTCTGGAACTCCTGAGCCCATGTTCATCCACCTAGGAGATGCCCAAAGTGCTCTAGGGAGCAGCGGGAAGATGACGCACATGGGAGCAGGAGGTAAGCTGTAGGTCTGCTACTACAGTGTTAGCAGAACAGACCGTAACAGCAGCCACATCAACCATCCCGCCTCCTTGGTAAGCCTCAGACTGGGGAGCAGCCCCTCAGAGGCCAGCAGGACCTTCCACGAAGCAGGCCAGTAGACACCACACTCGTACTTTTCTCAGCCAGCAAAGCGGGTCACATCACTCTCACTCCGAGAGTTTAAGTTTCTTCCCCCACATCTTTGCTCGTGTGTCTGTTCTACTCTAAGCTGCGATTCCAAAGGTGCCGAGTGCACGCAGGTGTACCTGCACCTCGGGGGTGGGTGGAGGGAAACAGTGCTGCCGCCTCCAGCCAGAAGCCAACAGAAAGCCAGCAAGCCCAGTCAGACCGAGCTCCCCTCCAGCCCCCGATCCTGCAAGCTGCTGAGAGTTCCCTCACCCAAAAGCCACAGCCCCGGCAATAGCCAGGCCCAGGGCTGCAGACTTTCCCCGTCCTCGGGCAGCTGTGAGCGCGACGGTGCTTCTCAGGGTCTTCTCCGAGATCCCCTCGATGAATTTCAAGACGGCTTTTGCCTGTGGAAAAAAAATGTACTGGGTGAGCCCTGACAAAGCCACATTCCAGCCCTTTATCACCATCGCCGAGCAGCCAGGCTGCTGCCAGGGTTAAATGACAAGTGGCAGCTCTTCGAGTCCAGAAAGCACCACTCAGCACCTGGACATCCCACTCCCCCGGCCATCCCGACTCGGCCCAAGAGCTACAGAACTAACTACATGTGGCCAGCCCTCGGATTTCCAGCTTCGGCACATACCTCGTCCCCACACCTCAGGCCTATGCCCACGCACCGGCTCCCTGCACAGCTCCCCTGGGACCACCGACATCTTAAACCTGAAGCTGGACGCTAAAGGCTCCCACAAACCTTCCCACACGCAGTCTTCCTCGGCTCAGTTACCTGTCCGAGTGTTTAGACCAGAAGCTGATCGACCACCAGCAAGACGGACACAAACCCCGCCACTCCTCGTCGTCACACCCTCGAGCACTCGGCTCAAGGCCTCCACCCTCACTGGCCTCCAGGACCCCAGCAGCCTCCCCCAGCCCTCCAGCTGCAGCCCTCATTCTGCTGCCGTCTCGACCCAGCACAGCAGCTCAAGTACCCAGAGCCCCCGGCAGCTGCACAGAGAAGCAACCGTAAGCAGAAACCCCCCGTCGTCTCACGGTGCACACACCACGGCTCATCCAGGGGCCCACACAGCCTCAGTGGCCTCCTCATGAGTCCTGGAGCACCCGAGCCACACTGCTGCCTAAGGTCCGCGCACTTGCTGATCCCTCTGCCTGATGCACTCATCCGCAGAAAGCAACTTGGCTCATTTCCTTAGCTCCTTCTAGTTCTTGCTCAAATACCACCTTCAAACCAGGCCATCCCCAACTGCTGGATCTAGAAAGACAGCAGCCCCACTTCCCCGAGTCCCATACACCCTGTCCCTCTTTGATTTTACGGACCTTCCGTCACACACAGCACCTTCAACTTGATCCGTGATTGGCTAGCTTCCTTTATTTGCTCTGTCGCCCAACAAGAAGGCACGTTCCGTGCAGCAGGTGCACCGTCTTATTTACCACCAAGCCCCTAGAGGGCCTAGAGGAATGCCTGGCACCTGGAAGGGAAAGCCTGATGCCATGGCCCCGAATGAGAGGAGCCAAACAGGACTCGGGCCAACTGTGGCTCCCTGGCTGGCACCTGTCCTGGGAGGGTCAGATGGGGCGGCACGGCTAGTCCTCCTTCAATGCGAAGGAGATGCTGAAGAGACACAGGCCCAGGCAGATGCAAGGGCGGGCCCGAGGGAAGCCAGGGTCTCTCCAGGAGGAAACACTCAAAGCAGAGCCAGGCCCTCCTCGTGTCAACCCAGTCTGCCTGAATGCTGAACGCTGCCCCTTTTTAGAGCAGTGAAGTAGTAAACTGTTCAAACAGCGGGAAGAAGCCACTGATGTAACTGAAGGGCATCGGACCTGGATCGCATTCTGCAATCATTTCCAAAATGGAAAACCAACACACACAAACAAAAATCCAGTAGAAAAGTGGGCAGAGGACATGAGCAGGGTGGTTCACCGAAAAACAGACACAAAAACGAAACTCAATACAGCTGACCAATAATCGATGAAGAAGATACCTGCCTCTTTCCTAATTAGAGCAGCCCAATCTAAAACACGCACATCACATGGGTGAAGACTCAGGTCACAGCGCCCAGAGCGAAAGCACTTGCATCCGCTGCGAGGGCTGCACCCACACCCACCCCTACACACCCAGCCTCAGCCCCAGCAATTCCTCTTCTGGAAACCTACCCAGGATAAAAGATGGCTTCCAAAGATTCGTGGGAAAATGGAATCAAAACAGAGCGAGCATTTTTCCACAAACTTTTTTGAAGCCCCCTCGTACAGTGCCCATGGATATAACGAAGAAAGTCCTAAGAGCTTTATTTACGATAGCAAAAAAGCTGGACTCACCGAACGCCTAGCAAAGGACCCCCTCCAGGCTGTGCACTGTGACTTCTTTGCAGTCAGGAAAACTTAGCACTCAGATACAGAATTAACTGCTAATAACATCTGGCTCTGCAGAGCGGGACTCCCAAGTGGCAACACCACCTTTTATTGCTTTAATGTGTACTCTGCGTACTAATTAATTTTCTCCCCTTTTTGTTTTGCCATGGCCTTTTGTACGTTGTTTGCCCATCCTGTGTCTCACTCCTTCTCTCTGGTAATAAAAAGCATACCAGGAAATGGTCCAGAGCAGTCCACAGCCCGCAGTCTGGGCTGCCCAGAGAGCTACGCAGCTGGTGCTGATGTTTCCAGAATGAACAGAGAAGCCAGTCTGTCAGGATTCAGCCTGGGTGGGTGGGGTCACCGAGGCTCTTGCCCACCAGGAAGGCAGAGCCCAGTGCTAAGGGGCCTATGCTGCTCATCTGGCTCAGGCTAGCCCAGAACCCTGAACACACCTGACAGCTCAAAGGCGCCGGGCTGTGTCCCATCAGCAACCAACACGGCCCAGGCACCGCCAGAGAAGCCAACCTTGCCAGCAATGCCAGCGCAGAAATGCTTCCTGGCAGCTCCCACTCAGCCTGCCATCTGCACCCAACAGACCACAGGGCCCTCATCAGGCCTCACATGCAGACATGCAACCAAGCTTTCTTTACACTTCTACACAAGCAAAAAACCCTTTCTATCATCAAACCTAACTGAAGTGACAGAGTGCACACATATCCCCCTGCCTTGGGAACAGCACCAAGAGGACTCCTCTTTAGATGTAATCCATCTTCCCCTGCGGACGCCCAGCCCCCTGAACTGTTCGTGGGGATTGGGCATAGTGGGGGGAAGAAGGGGGAGGAAATCCCTAAACTTCCTCTTGAACCCAGCCAGGACAGAAGAGCATGCGTGAGTATAAGCAGGAGCCAAGGCCCAGCCCTGGGGAGCTCCTGGGGGCTGACTGGCTTCTGCAGCTCTCTGTAGGCCCTACCTTACCTGTGCGCTGCGCACGCTGGGCTGGGGGCCCAGCGCCACTCACCTGGTCCAGGGTCTTGCAGCAGTCCACCAGCACGCCCACAGGCTGCGTGTCCTGCAAGCTCTCCTTCAACTCCTGCAGCTCCACATCAGAAGGACCGAGACGCTCATCCTACCAGGGAGAAAAGGAAGGGGAAGTTAGCACCGCCACGGGAGGATCAACACGGGAGACCCGGACTCTGCACCCTGCCACAGACTCACCGGAGCCTGCGGAGGGAGGGCCTCGATGCTGGCCACGTGTGAGGAGATGGGCAGGATGTTGAGCTGGTCATCGATGACGAGACACTTCTTACAAGAGGCCAGAGAGAGAATAAACCTGAGAAACAAAACCAGGGCAGTGAGGGCTCGGAGAGAGTGGGCAGAGCCCACACAGGGGCACAGAAGAGCGGCTGCTCTTCAGGAAGCTCACCGAGCCCCCTGCGTCTCGCCGCGCCAGGCCCCAGCTGCAGAGCAGTGAGATGATTGAGAGCCACCTGTACAGGGCACCCGCGTGCCATACGCAGCTCTTGAGCCCATGGGTAGCCCTCCACATGCCTGCCATGTGTGCCCCCAATCCCCTGGCTCTGTCCCTTCTCCTCCTCAGCTGACCAACACACACCAGGGATGGGGACACACACACACAGGAATTTGCCTTCTTTCATCAGGGAGAGAGAACACAGGAGGACAGGACAAAGAAAGTCTCCCTGAAGAAATACAGCACAAGGGGCCGTCGCTGTGGCAAAGTGGGTTAACAAGCTGGCCTGCAGCGCCAGCATCCCATATGGGTGCCAGTTTGAGTTCCGGCTGCTCCACTTCCGATCCAGCTCTCTGCTATGGCCTGGGAAAGCAGTAGAAGATGGCCCAAGTCCTTGGGCCCCTGCACCTGCATGGGACACTCGGGAGAAGCTCCTAGCTCCTGACAACAGTAAGGGACCGCAGGATGTGCTATAGACCTACCTTTCGTTGAATCTTCCCACCACATCCTGATGGGCCTCGGTCCTGTACCTGGAGTGCACGTCCTAAGGAGGCAAGACAACATTCACTGTGAAGTCTCCCCGCAGTGCTGAGGCCCAGGAGTCCAACACCAAGGTCTGCCAAAGGAGATGTCAGTGATCCCACGGTGCTGGTGCTGGCTCTGGCCAAGTGCGATCTGCTGGAACTGAGCTCAGATGCTAAACGTGCCGTTTCTTATGACAATGAACTTCCCCTCGCTTTCCCACACTTGATCCAGCATCCCAGGGTGCACATGTGCCAGACATGCTGGCCTCACCTGGTGCATATAGCTCCCCTTCGTTCTCACGGGGCCCACAGCCTGAAGGCCAGGAACGCAGACAGACACATAACTGAACAGATACAGACTTTGGTAAAGAATACAAGTAAAATACACGGTGCGGTGACAGCAAACGGAGGACCTGCACATCCAGAGAGAGAGGAAGGCACTCCCCGGTGACAGGCCAAGGCTTGAAGGACAAGCAGGTAGCCGTGTAAGAGGTGGAGGAAAGCAACTGATGGGACCTGGAGTCACTTACTCACAGCACCTCAGGGGCGCTGCCTAAATGCCACGCACTCTTCTGGAACCTGGGAACACACCCGCAGGGACCCAAGGTACAGAAGCCAATCACTGGATAACTTCAGAAGGCTGTCCAGGGCAGGCTGCGGTCGGGCGCAGCCACCCATTCTAAGCAGCACAAGCAAAGGCTACCCCGAACAGGGACTTGACATGCATGGAAGCACGCTGTGGTGGGGGAAGCACGTGCTGACACCCCAAGGTGACAATGAGCTGGGCTTGCCCGAGGAAGCCAGGACAGTAGTGACAAGTGATGTCAGGGAATGACAGGAAGCAGAGCTCAAGAGCTGGGGAAAGTCCATTTCACTAGATAAATACAGCTCATGAGCCCCCGGGGACAGTGCCAGCACCGCTCCAGAGCCGCTCCGATTCAGGTACAACATACACCCACTCCTAAGTGGCTTCTGCGGAGGGAGCCAAACCTCCTCTCCCATGATCAAAACTCTTGCCAAAACAGGAGTGAGATGGGCAAGTGAGACTGTTCCTTCATCCACTAGAATGGGGGCCAGCAAGAAAGCTGTGCATGCTTCCTGTTTTGCAATACACACGCGTAGGCGTGGGCATGGCTCTGGGCAGAATGCCATTCCAGAAAACTGAGCTACATAAAAGCCGCATCATAACTGCATACGAACACCTGAAAGCAATGTGAAATCCGGAGGTTCCTAGGCACACCCGGCCCTGAGAGCCATCCGCACTGACTTTTTCTTGAGTTGCAGTTGAAGAGCTCCCAGCTCAGAGGTGTGCAGCTTGCTCACTGGTGCTGCCCGTGAGAAATTCTTTACAGAAAGTGGGCTACAGCGAAGGCAGACTGAAGCGAATCCACACAGTGTAACCTCAGCCGCTTACCATGGTCATTGTGTACAACTGCTTGAGGGAGTTCATGGTCCGCAGGAGGATGACCACCAGCCCGCCGCCTTCCACAGTTTCCACAGTCCTGGCCAGCAAGTTTGGAGTTAAAGCTTCAAAATCCTGGAAGGAAGAGACCTTAGAAGGGGCTGATCATGCCAAGGACATCCAAGGAGACTTGACTAAGGCCAGGTGGTCACGCAAAGAGGGCTTCCGATCACAAAGACAAGACAGTATGGCCTCCAGCCCTGATGAACCAGGACACACACACACACACAGGCCCTCATCTGGAGACAGAGGGCAGCCTAGCCTCGAGTACAGGTATACCTGGTTTATACTCTTCTGGCAAAATGTTTCAATAACCACCGATAAAATCCTATTTGGAAACGAGTCCTCCAGCCTTCACTGATTCACTCGTGAACTTCAGAAATAGCTTCGTGTGTGGCAGCAGTTTGGCAAAACTCAACTGTTCCACATGGGGGTGCTACTGTTTAAGAGAGGCACCATTCTGGCACCTAGTAGTGGCCAAGAGCAGAACTCCCCCAATTAGTCAGTGATTAGGCCAAGGAACTCCCCTCAGTTAGGGTGAGAGGGGAGTAAAATAACTGCTCTTCCTGGCCTCTGAGGTGAGACACGAGCCAGCAGTGCCCAACTCGCTGGAATGCAGACAACAATCACACTGTCTAGTTTGATTTTTCTCATTCCGTAATTTATATTTTGCAAGATATGCTTTACCATTTTCGAAATCAGGGTCTCAGTGGTATGTGACTATAAAAACACACACAGAAAGGTGGGAATTTGTGCTTAGATTTGGGGTGGGGGGAGCACGGCTGTCAAAGAATCAAAGAACAAAACAAAGACCGCCAGAACCAGAACAAAGAAAAACGTGCAAGTCTATTAAGATACCCGATCACAAATACACACTGGGGAGCACGTCCCCAGCAGCTCTCTGGGCGGACAGTGAAGGGCTTCTCGGGGCTAGAGCGGGGGAGTGGGCTCCTGGCAGCTACGCTGCTTGTGCATCCTGGAGAGGACCCAGGAGACACAGGTGGCTCCAGCTGGCTCTAACAAGTCTCTGCACACTGGCCAGGGAAGGCTTCATGAGTGCCAAGGGGCTCTGGGACCCTAGGGCCACTCACGGTATCTGGTGCTGAGGTGTGCATTTGGCACGGCGGTTACGTCACCACTTGGGACAACCCATACTGGAGTGCTCAGCTGAGTCCCGGCCACTCTGCTTCCTGCTAACGCACACCCTGGGAGTCAGCAGGTGGTGCCCAAGCACCTGGGCCCCTGACACCATGTGAGGAACCAGCCTGATTTCCGTGCTCCCTGCTTTAGCCTGGCCCCGCCCTGGCTCTTGCAGGCATTCAGGGCTAACGCAGAGGGTAGGAGATCTTTCCATCCATCAGGCAGCACTAAGCACCCGTCGATCCTCTAACACCAGGCATAGGCTCGGCGGGGGTGGGGGTGGGGGAGAGGGTGGACACGCACCTGGAGGACACACATGCCGAACGTATTGCCCAGGATCTTGTGGGTCTCATTGTAGTAGCAGTAGCGAATGTTTGTGGCTGCTACGAAGAGCTCAAAGGGGTCATCTTGCTTTAGGTTCAGCGTTCCGTTCTTTATTTTCTTCTGCAGCTGTCTCATTCTCTTCTTCCGATGACTAGAGTTGGTTAACCAGAGAAGCTACTTTAGTTGGGAACAGAGCCTAGCAGTTTGGCACCATTAAGTTACCTGCATCCCGTATCAGAGTGCCTGGGTTCAAGTCCTGGCCCCCAATTCCAGGTTCCTGCTAATGCAGACCCTGGCAGACAATACGTGATCAATCAAGTAGTTGGGAGACCTGGATTCAGTTCTCGGCTCCTGCCTCTGGCCCACTCTAGCCCTGGCTGTTGGAGACATGTGAGGAATGAACCAGTGGATAGGATCTCTGCCTCTCAAATTAAAAAAAAAAAAAAAAAAAAGAGTTAGGAGTGGGGGAAAGGCTCAGCGATCACCCTCTCAGACCTTCAGAGCAGTAGGGAACTTAGAAAGTGTGGGGCTCGCATGGGAGACCCGGCTCCTGGGTCCCGGCTTTGGATTGGCCCAGCTCCAGCTGTTGCAGCCAATTGGGGAGCGAACCAGCAGATGGATACCTCTCTCTCTTCTCTCTCTGTGTAACTCTTTCAAACAAATAAATAAACCTTAAAAAAGAAAAGAAAGTGTGGGGCTGCTTAACTTGCTGTAAAGGTGAAGGGAAGCGGACAAGCACGGAGCAGAGCGGGTGAGAAGGCTTTGCAAGCAGGCAGTCCGGACGTGACCAAGTCTGCTACTTTCCTCTGCAACCCGAGCAGGTGGGGAAGGGAGTGGGGCGGGGACAGGGGTGCGTTTGGTCCAGCCGTTAAGATGCTCCTATCCCAAACTGAAGTGCTTGGCTTTGTTCCCCAGATCCGGCTTCTGCCTACAGCTTCCTGCCTGAAACCTACATGGGAGACCTAGATTCAGCTCCCAGTTCCTGGTCCCAGCAGTTGAGGACATTTGGCGAGTGAACAAGCAGATGGGAGAGCTCTGTCTATCATTCAAATAAATACATTTTTTAAAAAAGCAGGCAGACAATAGATTAAGTGAAATCAAGTGGCTTAAGTTTAAAAGGCAAATCTGCCAAGAAAACTGAACTGCCTAATTCTGCACCCTTCTCATATTTGACAAATGAACAATATTGAGAAAATGCCCCAAAATTTAAAATTCTAGGGCAGGCAACAGGCCTCATTCTCGATTCTATACTAAAAATGCTTGGGGGGAGGGGTGTGCAGGCTGTGCTGTGGTACAGCAGGGAAAGCTGCTGCCTGCAGTGCTGAGCCCTGGCTGCCCCTCTTCCAGTCTAGCTCTCTGCTGTGGCCCGGGAAGGCAGTGGAGGATGGCTCAGGTGCTTGGGCCCCAGCACCCGCTTGGGAGACCTGGAGGAAGCTCCTGGCTCTGGCCCAGCCCAGCTCCAGCCATTGTGGCCTCTTGGGGAGTGACCCAGCAGATGGAAGACCTCTCTCTCTCTCTCTTTGCTTCTGCCTCTGCATCTCTATAACTCTTCCATTCAAATAAATAAATAAATCTTAAAAAAAAAAAAAAGCTTGGAGCCGGAGTTGTGGCACGGCAGGTTAAGCTGCCGCCTGCAATGTTGGCATCCTATATGGGTGCCAATTCGAGACCTGGCTGCTCTACTTCTGATCTAACTCCCTGCATTAGCCTGGGAAAGCAGCAGAGGATGGCCCAAGTGTTTGGGCCCCTGTAGCCACGTGGGAGACCCGGAAGAAGCTGTGGATGAGCAGAAGTCTTGACTACCACGGCTTCCAGAGGCCACAGTCCACCGTCAAGGACAGCAGTGAAGTGGCAAGAAGGGCCCTGCCGAGAAGCTGGGAGAAAAGGCACTGCACTGGGGCAGCAGGTCGCTGCGCATGTCTCACGTCTCAGCACACAAAATGGGCACTGAGACAGATGGCAAAGGCAGGGAGGTGCGAGACACTTAGGTTTTAAGATACACGGCAGTAAAAGGAGGGACAATGCCAGCCTCGGGATAAAGCTGGCTATAAACGCTCACCACATTTTGAGAACAAGGAAAGCTAAGCATGTGTACACAAGAAAGGAGAAAGTTTCAAGAATATACAGTGTCAGCCAGAAGGACAATTCAAGTCCTGAAAGGACCGGCGCTGTGGCATAGTGGGTTAAGCCTCCGCCTGCAGCGCCTGTATCTCTTGTGGGCACCGGTTCAAGTCCCAGCTGCTCCACTTCCGATCCAGCTCTCTGCTATAGCCTGGGAAAGCAGTGGAAGATGGACCAAATCACTGGGCCCCTGCACCCACGTGGGAGACCTAGAATAAACTCCTGGCTCCTGGCTTCGAAATGGCCCAGCTCTGGCCATTGTGGCCATTTGGGGCGTGAACCAACGGATGGAAGACCTCTCTCTCCCTCCCTCCCTATCTCTCTCTCTCTGTAACTCTCCCTCTCAAATAAACAAAGTCTTAAAAAACAAGTCCTGAAAGGGAGGTGAGAGAAGAGATCCAAAGCAGAAAAACTGGTCTTCGTGGCCATGGAAGAAGGTGCATTGTGTCTGTGAAGGAAGGGCAGGAAAAGGGAGTGTGAAACGGCCGCTGAAGGAACTTTCATGGAGTGGCCTGATCAGTTTGGAAAAGGACGACAAGAAAGCACGTGCAGGAAACAAGGCATGGCACTGAGAGCTGGGAAGGGCGTTCAAGTGGCAAGAAATACTGTGAGGCGTTTAGAAAGGATGGCAACTCTACTTTCCCCTCCATTTAGCGATGTCCTCAGGGACAGCAGCACCTCTAGTAAAGATCCCTGCAAAACGACATCAAGGAACTACCCTCCTGGCACTGAACTAATCAGCAGGGGCTGCAGGTGGACTGGGACACACAAAGGGGATAAGTTTACCTGCTAAACCCCAGCTCCTTCTTGTAACACCACAGCACTGAAGGCCGCGCCCTTACAGTCGCTTTGGACAACATATGATGGAGTATCACCACCTGCAAAGAACAGGCACAGAATCTCTGGTCAAACAGCCCTTAGAAACTGCCAGGCTAAGACCTTATCAGACAGATGTGAAAACTCAACTGAGGGCCAATGAAGTGCCCAAATTCACAAGGCAAACAGTAGCCAGGTTGGGATTAGAAGCTCATGGCCAGCACCGCGGCTAAATAGGCTAATCTTCCACCTTGCGGCGCCAGCACACCGGGTTCTAGTCCCTGTCGGGGCGCCGAGTTCTGTCCCGGTTGCCCCTCTTCCAGGCCAGCTGTCTGCTGTGGCCAGGGAGTGCAGTGGAGGATGGCCCAAGTGCTTGGGCCCTGCACCCCATGGGAGACCAGGAGAAGCACCTGGCTCCTGCCATCAGATCAGCGTGGTGCGCCGGCCGTGGTGGCCATTGGAGGGTGAACCAACGGCAAAGGAAGACCTTTCTCTCTGTCTCTCTCTCTATCCACTCTGCCTGTCAAAAAAAAAAAAAAAAAAAAAAAAAAAGAAGAAGAAGAAGAAGCTCAAACGCACACACTTCATTTTGTGGTCAACCTACCACCTCACACTTCAATAGGTATTGTCTTGTCTGCTAATGAATATGAATACAGGGGCTGGCACTGTAGCATAGCGGGGAAAGCCACAGTCCGTAGCGCTGGCATCCCATATGGGTACCAGTTCGAGTCCCAGCTGCTCACTTCCCATCCAGCTCCCTGCTATGGCCTGGGCAAGCAAAAGATGGCCCAAATCCTTGGGCCCCCTGCACCTCTGTAGGAGACCCAGAAGAAGCTCCTGGCTCCTGGCCTTGGCCTGGCCCAACTCCAGCCGTTGCAGCCATCTGGGGAGTGAACCAGCAGATGGAAGATCTCACTTTCTAACTCTGCCTTTCAAATAAATAAATAAATAAATCTTAAAAATAAATAAATATAAATACAATTTGCTACTTCCAGGCAATGAAGGGGATCCCCAACTAAAGAAATCTTGACGCCCTTGTGTGCTGAAACCCCAGGTGGCCTATCACGTGCTGCCTCTTTGAGACAGGACATAAAGTAATTCAAGAAGCGATCACCAGGTCTTACCTGATCTTTCCCTCGGTCCCCGACTACAACAAAGAGAGACCTCTGCCGCTCAGCTACCCCATTCTCAATGAGAATTCGGATTCGGTTATCCACCTTCTTCCGATGCATGGTGAGAGATTTTCACTAGAAGAGAAGCAAAGGAAATACAACTGGACAAAACACCCGACTGCAGTGAGGAACCTGAACTGGCTGCTGCTGATGGGAACTGGGGCTCAGCTAGGCACACTGATAAGCATCAGCCCACTGAAGCCTCAAACAGTTCCCCAAGGAAGATGGCAGCCTCTGTTTTGAAATTAGGAAACTGAGGTTTGGGAGAAGAAAAAAAGTTCCCTCAGTAGGGGAAGTCAGAAGGGAAGCTGCAATTCATGCCCTCACCTTGCAGTTTTTAAAAACTGGAAACCTGGGGCCGGCACTGTGGCGTGAAGGGTAAAACAGCTGCCTGCAGTGCCAGCATCCCAATATGGGCACCAGTTCGTATCCCGGCTGCTCAACTTCCGATCCAGCTCACTGCTATGGCCTGGGAAAGCAGTACAGGAAGGCCCAAGCATGGGAGACCTGGAGGAAGCTCCTGGCTCCTGGCTTCGGATCGGCGCAGCTCTGGCCATTGCAGCCATCTGGGGAGTGAACCAGTGGAAGGAAGACCTCTCTCTCTCTGCCTCTCCTTCTCTCTCTGTTAACTATGACTATCAAATAAATAAATAAATCTTAAAAAAAAAAAAAAAAAAACTGGAAATCCGAGGTCAGCTTGTGGCACAGCAGTTAAGCTGCCGCTTACTGTACTGACAGCCCATATCGGAGTGCCAGACTCAAGTCCCACCTACTCTATTTCTGATCCAGCTTCCCGCTAATGCACCTGGGAACCCAGGCATTGGAAATGAGTCAAGGGTAGCAGACACGGATGGAGTTCTTGGCTCCTGGCTTTGGCCCAGCCAAGCCCTGGTTTTGAGGGCATTTGGGGCAATAAATTAGTAAATGGAAGATTTCTCTTGCTCTCTCTCATGAACATGTAGGTGAAAGGTATCTCTGTCACACTTCCAAATAAGTAAATAATTTAACTGAAAACGTGACAGTTCAAAAATAAAAATAAGAGAATGACTAAAATATATATGGTATACCCATATACCCAAACCATTTTCAAAAACGATCTTGGGACAGATACTCATAAGAGTATATCACGGTAAAGTAAAGTATGCTACCAGTTTTACACATATACACAACAGAAGGGGAAAAACTGGTCGCAAATATCGACATGAAAAGTAGCTACTCCTGGATGATGAAGTTTTATCTTGTTTTGTTTTTTAGAGTTGTTTTAATTTTGTTTGTGTTACTAACAAAGCCAAGGAAAGGAAATCAGTGAATATTTCTATTTTGCCTCAAGTGAGGAAAAAAACCACACTGAAGTTGTCCAGACCTTAAAAGTTACATGATTGCCTGCAGTAAAATGCTGCATCATTACCACAAGAAAAATGTACCAAAGGAACAACAGAACTGTCCGTTACACTATAAGGTAAAAGTACAAATAACATGCCACTTAAAAACGCCAGTGCCTGCTACATTCTAAAAACAAAGCTCATTAACTGAACCTTAACCATACACTAATAACTGCCCCTTCCTACTTCCCAACCCTAGCATGAGCCCCTATTTATATGTAACGCATCCCAAGGCAGAAAAGTGAGGTGAGGTTCACACTCAAGTCTGGCTGGCTCCCAGGCCTGAGTCTGTTCCCATTGACAACCTCACCAGCTGCAGCCACAGAAACCCAATCAATAATTATGGGAGGCGGGAGCAGCCTCTAGCCCTAACTACTGTGGGGCTCTCAGAAGCGGCACCAGATCCAACCCTTGTATTTAAAGGGAAGACTAGAGGCCAACGCTGTGGCGCAGCGGGTTAACGAGCTGGCCTGCAGTGCCAGCATCCCATATAGATGCCGGTTCGAGACCCGGCTGCTCTACTTCCAATCCAGCTCTCTGCTATGGCCTGGGAAAGCAGTACAAGATGGCCCAAGTCCTTGGGCCCCTGTACCCGCGTAGGAGACCCGGAACAAGCTCCTGGCTTCTGGCTTCAGATCGGCGCAGCTCTGGCTGTTGCAGCCAATTGAGGAGTGAACCAGCAGATGGAAGACCTCTCTCTCTCTGCCTCTCCTTCTCTCTCTCTGTATAACTCTGACTTTCAAATAAATAAATAAATCTTAAAAAAAAAAGGAAAGACTAGATGTAAAAATTAGGTGTAAAAATAATAGCTACTATAAGGGATCTGATAGAGCTCTAAGATTACCGTACGCCGAAGTTGCCAAGGGAGGACTAATGGACGAGGAGGGCCTTGATGCTTATTTTTTTACTCATTTATTCGCCTAACTGCACACAGCATTTGTGCGCCAAGCACCACCCAGGTGCGTGGCAAACAAAACCAAGTCCTGCATGTGGCTGCTGAATAAAAAGTAGAAACGAACGTGCACAGTGAGGTAAGTAGGAGCGAGGGAGGACCTGGGATCACCGCGCCTCAGTTCAAAGCCCAGAGCAGAACCGGCCAAGTGTGAGCCAGCTCCGAGAATCTCAAGTGTTGCCATGCACCCATTCGCCACGACCGCCTGCCAGGGATCCCCAGAGCCCGCCCGAGTACGGAAAGGACTCTGGCTACCCAGGAACGCCCGGCGAGGGCCAGTCGGTCTGGCCGGGTGTCTGCCTCGATGCCGCACGTTGGTCCTGGGGCCGACCCCCTCCCAGTATGGCGAGGACACGGACGCGGAGCTTGACACCCACCCCCAGCCCTCCAGCGATGGGTACCTGAGCCCCGAACCCGGCCGATCCCTGCCGGCGGCAGAAGCACGTGGGGGGAGCAAGGAACTCCACGAGAGGCGGGCCTTTCAGGCTGCCTCGGCTGATGCCTGGCCGCCACCTCTCGTCCCGCATAGGCTCTGGCAGCCTGCGCGTGCGCGAGGGCAGTATATGCGACGGCAATCGAAGGGGCCTTCGTTAATGCGGTCGCGTACCAATGACGTCACAGGACAGGGAGGCGGAGCCCCTGCCTAAACTTGAGCTGTGCCCTAGTCGGTCCTAGCGGTAGCTGTGGTGAGGGGTGCGACTTTGCTCCAGCCACTAAAGGCTAAGCAGGCATGTATTTATACAGATATAGCCGTCAGCACCAGGCCACCAGCCATTGTGCCGGGGGTAGGTCCGGTGCAGCGCAATGCTGGTACGCCAGGGGTTTGTTAGCCTGGTTTTTGCGAGATGGCTCTGGAATGCGCTCGAGCTTTATTCACCTTATGTAAACATTTTAACGGGACACGATGAAGCCGCTTAGCCAGTACGCCTGCTTTATTCACCGTTAGACCCTCCATCCCCGCAGGACTGAACCTGTGGAGCTGTCTGGAATTCTGTAGGTTTTCTGCCCACCACGGCGGTCGTCGTACTTTGAGGATTCCCCTTTAGACCTTTATCTGGTCGTGGAAGGTTGAAGGTCTTCGGTAAACCAGCCCTGGGACGCTCTCTTCAGCTGTGTCCTCTCCATCTCCCGGGAGAATTCGCTCAAGCGCCTGACTAACAAGGGTTATCTATATTTTTGCGTTGTTTTAGGGATTCAAATGTTTTACATTTCTTGGATACTAACAACTGAATGTCCAAGACAAATTCATTTTCCCTTCCCCAAATACAGTTCGATTCTATCACCACCCATCTAGTCCAACACCGGTTATCACGTTCTCTTCCAACTCAATGTCAATATGCCAGACGCTACACTGAGTTCACAAGGAGTCACCGAAATGTTGCGGCTCCTAGTGAAGCTTATGTAATTCTGGGTAAGTTTTAAATGCTATTAAGGAAAAGGCCAGTGCACAAAGAGCGATTAAATGTATCCAGGAGTGGATTGGAAAAGCAGGTGAGGTGGTGGCACTGGAGCAAGAGCTGTGATCAGAATGAAACTTGAGGATATTTGAGTTAAAAGCCTTCTCACGCCAGATATGTAAAGGCTCCAAGATGGTAAGACACTTGGCAAATCAGTGTGGCTAGAACACAGTGGGAAAGCAGGCCAGATAATGCTGGACATGCAGACCAAACTTTTAACTTTAGTTTTGATAGGAAACCACTGGAGTTTGAGCGATAGAAGAGTAACAAAACCCGATTTGCTGTCTTTTAAAAGGTTCTTCTGGCTGGTGTGCAAAATCTGTACTATGAGTTCAAGCATTAAGAACCATCACAAGGTACTGTAGTTGCCTGTTTTATCATGTTGTAGTGGTGGTGGTCCCAAGTTCTAGATGGCAAGACAGAGTTCAGGGTAGAACCACATGCATTTGCTGAAGGATTACAGGGTATGAAAGGAAATCAGATGGTACCCCAAAGGGCCTGTCCCCAGCAAAGATTTGAATGAAAAGCAGCTGGTGCAGCATCATCAAGAGGTTGATCTGGAATGCAGGTGTTGGCACTTGAGGGGTCTGGGGCCTAGAAATATTTAGGGGAGACTGAAAACACTGAACATACTCAAAATCATGGGATTGGGCAGATCATCTATGGAAGACTACAGCTAGAAATCAAGTCTGACAACCAAAACCTGGAGAAACTGGCAAAGGATAACTGAGGAGTGGCTAGTGAAAGGAAATGTACAGATCCCATTCACCACCACCACCCACCTGTATGTTATAATCATGACTCATGCGGGCTACTCTAATAAGCCTCCTCTATCTCTTGCTCCATACATTTTATTCTGCATCCAATGTTCTTTAAATGGCAATAGGTTACTTCCATCCCCTCACTCCAAACAGTACACACACAGCTTAAAAACCAAGTTTCTAACTGTTCTTAAGAGACAACACTTAACATGGAGTAGAACTACAAAGCTACCCAGTTAGCCCTTACCAGTTTCTCCACTCTACTAAACCTTGCTGTTTCCACTTCAAGCAGTTTCCTTAGTGATCAGGTCTTTGAATATGCTCTTCTCTTACCTGCCTAGTTTACTTCACATCCTTCAAACCTTAGTGCAATTATTCCTTCCAATGAAGCCTTTCCTGATCGTGTTCATATCCCATCAGTCATAGTCCTTACCACCAACTGCACTGCTCCATCACAGCATTTGCTATGCTCAATGAAAGCAGGAACGACAATGATTTTTGTCACCACTGAATGCCTAGTATTTTGGCATGATGCTAGCTAATTTGCTGAATGAAGCCTTAGTTCAGTGGCTTAAGTGTCTCCCAAACGGAAAGATGGTACTTCAAGAAAGGTAACAAAATAGTAAGCTAAAAACTCTCTCTTAACTAGACCAGAGACAAACTGCTGGTCTTGCACTGGACAAAGATCCAGCCTGTTGCACAAAATTAGGCTTCATTAGCACCTTGTTAAAGTAGGGTATGCTAATAGTACAGACTGAGAAAACACACTCAAGCCTTCTTAGAAGATGAAACTACCAGAGTCAAGCCTTTTCCTAAGTGGCATGTCTTTACTTGAGCTTCCCTGGATGGTACATAGAACTGAAGCAGACTTCGCTCAAGGACAACAAAGAATCAGGTTTTCATATAATTTAATCTACTGGAATTTGAAACATTCACTAATCTTTTCCAATGTTTGTAGAATTCAGAATAGGAAAAACTAGAGTTGAGCCTTAACAATTCACTTTCACTTTCCTCCATAAAAAGGAACAAGAGCTCAAAGAGTAATACTGATTTTTTCAAATGTAACTTAGTCAATAAAACTCAAAATGCTTTAATAAGAACTTCAATAGGATGCAGATTCAGGAGCTAAAAGTTAAAATGAAGGGTTTGAATTCAGTGCTTACCTGCATCCCCTTTCTCCTTATCAGATATATTATTGAAAATATAATGAGCGAAACACAGACTTCCTAAAACAGAAAGCCAACCGCTCAACTACCTTCTGTATTTTATGAACTGGTTATCAAATGAGCACCTCAGTTAAAAGTCTGACAACATTCACACATTCTCATGTCTCCGACAAGACTAGGTGGAAAAGCCTCCCACACAACAGATTACATGTGTGTGGAGACAAATGAACTGGAGAAACTACTTGATTTAAAAACAGGTGATGGACATTTGCTTTAATATCAAGATACAATGATTGGAAAAACTCTCCCATATTTTTAAGAATATTAGAATCTGGAAATAAAACTGCCCTAAACCAAGGTGATCAATGGCATTTTACCTTTACTAAAAAAACTTTGAAAAAGAAGTTTCATTATCCACATGAGATAATTATCATGTATGTACAAAAAGTATTTTATATGTGGTCTTGCTACACCAAGAGGCTACAGTGACAGGTGTGACAATCATCATGTCCTTCTAACTCTGCTAAAATGTGTATTTGATCAAACAAAAGGCCCTCAGCAACTAGGTCAAGCATTAACATACAGAATATTCAGTACCAAGATCTTAATGAGACTTTTTTTTTAAAAAGTTCTCTTCCCTGTAAAGAGATACTACTTTTTAAAAATATGATCTGAATTAAGACATAAAAGACTTACATTTAAACTGTGATGGTAGAATGAAAGAAAAATAGTACTTTGAAAAAGAACAAATGATTCTTTTAAAAAACATACACAGAATAATCAAACTACAAACATCTTTACAAATTCACAACATCTGCACTAATGCATAGAATCTGAAACCTAGAAGGCATTTCTCTCCCATCTCATCTCTGGAGTGATTCTTGTAGATCACTATATAAAGAACTTACAATTTTGATCTTAAATGTCATGAAATTATTTTCTACACAGATAAAAACTTAGTTTTATATAGGATCACAAGCACACATCATCTAGGGATTATTCACTAAACCACAAATATTTTATCCATCCCTCTAAGATACAGCTTACATATGGTTGTGGTACATCCCAGGCAGATGTCTAAAGCACGCAAGGGGAGGTGCTAGCAAAAGAAATACTCATTTGCCAAAGTAAACATATAACCCTTCCCATATGATGTACCACAACCACACATGAGGAAAGTCAAGAACTTCTTTTATTTTAAAATAAACATTGAAGATCCCCCATTTCCCACCACCCTACAAAATTTTTGAATGTGGAATGTTCAACAGCCTATCTATTTTAGTAGGTTACAAAACCAGCAAAAACTCCAGTTGTCTAATGATGAATGTTTGAGAATAGCTTTGTTTTTAAGTAGCTGAGCACCTACTGGAAAAATCCCTTAGCTAAAGGCTGAAAACAAATTTAACTTCTGCACAGAAAAGTAATTTCACAGCCTTTGCTTAATAGGTGGGATTGATTCTCCATGACGTCAAAGTGGAATGGGACAACAAGCAGCATTAAGTTCATAGGCACACTGAACTAGTGCTCAAACTGTTACCACAAATGCCAACACAGTACGTGTGGCTATAGCACTACTAAACTGTCCATCTCCATTATATTTGAGCTCTTCCTATACTATACTTAAGGGAAGATACCTCCACTTTGAATATAAATGCCTCCATGAGAAAAGGAGAATTCAGTTAGGGTTAAATTAGATAAAAGGTAAGTGCAAATACTATAGAAATAGCTGCTGGAAATAACCATAAAAATTTGTGACACTAACAATGCATGGGGTGAATCATAAAAGCTGCTAGCTGTTGAACACCAGCGTTTCAAGATACAACTTTTATAAACATGTTTTATTTGTTTTGCTTATACCATCAGAACTGAAGCTACTGACTGTCATCTCCCTTAAACAGGGAAATCAATCTAAAACACATACTGGTGCTTTTCAAAAGATAGCAATTTTAAAAGGGTGATAGCAGCAGGCATTTGGTATCTTTTTCTTTTAAAAACGATCAAGCTGCAGGAAAAACATGTGACCAAGAGTGTTATGATTATCCATTAGAGATTTTCATCAGTACCTGTACCAATTTAGGTGACAATACAGCAATATTCACGGATTAGTGACAATGTACATGTCATAAGGAATGATAAGAGTACCAATCCTTATAAAAGTCATTGTCTCAAAGAAATTGTTAAGTGTTCAAAAAGGAAATCTAAATACTTCACATTAAGTACAGAAGTGGCCATCCAGACTATATCCCATATTTGTTGCATATCTTTAAGAGTGCCAATCAAAGCCTAATCTGTATTGACTTTATCTTACACAATATCAGCTATTAAAAAGCAATTTCTATGTGTTTTTAACCACTCGCTTGGCCAGATGAAAAGTGAGTACTGTGTCGAAGCTGGAAGCCAGCCTTACATGTGTGATTAAGGGCCCATGCATAATTTGCTAGGTAGCTAAACATTCAGTGCTCCAATTTAACATGAAAGCTGTGAAATGCAGCTGTTCTGCCAAACCACACTCCGCTCCTTCCCTCTTCCTTTCAAGGAAAATATTTTAGCTTTGTCAATTACCACTGAATTAATTCTAGGGCTGATTTGTAGATTTTATCCCATGTCCAAAAAGTCAAACTTGTTTTTTCCAAGCCACTTCAAATAACTATGGAGATAATATCACCCCGTAAAGTATATTATGTTTTACTCCTAAGCAAGGGTGAGGAATCTGAGTATCATGTGCAAGGCTCAAGATGACGCTTAGGACAGAACATGCAGAGTAAAAATAGTTTCCTTCCATATCCAGGTAATATAAAGCTGACAATTGTAGTCCTGTCTTTATGGGATGAAAACAGTCCCTTTACAATGTTTCCTGAAAGGGAGAACAAATAGATAATAACTCTTCTGGTAACATATTATGGTACACTGGCCAGTGTGTTTTTGGCGATTAAACATAATCCTGTGAATCAGATTAATTCACTTGCTGAGTGTTCATTTGCGGCATCCCTCTGTTGGGTCTTGGGGGCCCTCCACGACCTAGAAGACAAAAATGGCATTTGATTTTTCTTTCAAATATTATTTGTTTTGCCTTCAAGCAGATTTTCATCTGAAGTCAAGAAGCATGTGGGCAGCTTGTCACCACATTATTAGGTTTAAGAAGTCAATTCTTCAGTGTTCAAGTTTCACCTGTCCTGGAAGTGGTCATGCGCAAACTTGCTCATGTTCCCTAGCTAAAAGAAGAGTAGAGCTAATGGAGTATTCCACCAGTACTCATTCATTCATTCATTCAACAAGTATTTATTGAGTGCCCACTATGTGCCAGGCACCATCATCAGGCGTTGGGAATAGATACAGCAGTGAAGACAGACAAGGTACCTGCTCTCATGGAGCTTACATTCTAGTGTACACTCTAGCTTACATTTCAGTAGTAAATAACATCATACTATCAAAATTAATAAAAGCACCAGAATGAAAACAGACCTTATTACCTAAACTGTTAAAAAGAAACTACATAACATTCAAAATTGTATAATGACTTATAACAGATAAAATAACTTTTTACATGCTGTTAAAACAGATTGTAAGCTCTCAGTTAACTCAACTTTCATAGAATGCTACAAGGTGGGAAAGAAGAACACAACCCACATTCACATGCAAAAATCCTTTGATACTTCTAGTCAAGTCAGTAACTCCCAAGTGATCCATTACTTAAAAAAAAAAAAATGCACCTTTTTGCTGGCCAGTTCTACTAACATTCCAATCAATGTACTTTGTAATTCCTCCTTAATATACACTTTTAAACATGTTATGGGGAGGAAATCTAGTCAATATTTAGCCTCCCTCAGAGAACCATTTAGAGCTTCAGATTATATGAAATGCTAGCTCCAACTGTTAAAACAGGTTAACTTCCTGCCCAAATAGAAAGCACTTTTCCAACAGTAAAAGACAAAATGCTTTTTAAGTCTATAATCTTTAAATACACCTCAGTAAGTTAGTTGAACTTACAAGTCAGTAAGTTAGTAAGATTTTAGAGATTCTGTTTAAAAACCAGAAATAACTTGGTATTTGTAATGCTAATAGTGGTCCAAAAGTCACTGAAATTTCAGTTAGTTCTATTACTTCTAAATGGTTCTCTAAATTTAACTATCGTTTATTACCTGGCCATTAAAGGGTTTCTGGTCCTAAAATATAAGATTCATGTTTCAAAAATGAAAGAGGAATAATAAATTTATATAAATGTTCAATCTCATTCCAAAAATGTCTTACAAAAATGTTTCAATAAGTACTTCCTAAAAACATTTACCAGGTTTTAGGACCTGAAAAATAATTTCCAGTTGGAAAAACACTTTTTCTGAGGAAGAGAAAATGTTCTAGTTTTCAAGACAGTTTATATTTTAACAGGGAAAGTCATTCAAAAATTAAATTTTGGGTTCAATATTAAGTTTTAGAAACAGCGCATTTCATTTAATCCCTAGCCACAAGTCTGGAAAAGATAAATGGGTTCCTAACATATAATCCACATGCAGACTATGAACAGCTCTTCCAAGGCCAGAACAGATGCTCCACTTAAGAGCTAGGATCACCACCACAAAATATTACCTCGTGGGGCTCCCCGTGGTCCACTCTGCCCAGAGCCTCGCTTGAAATTCTGCTGATATCCATCCTAAAAGACAAGCTAGTTAGTATTGGCAAGAAATGGCAATTTTTAAAAATGCTAACCCCTCTACCTCTATTCTTACACTGTTCTTTGAGACATCTCAGCATACCACAGCTAAAAAAGTTACTCTGCAACTGATGTTTTTCTATTGTTCTCAAGAATCTTCAATGAGATATATTTTACTGTCCTTGAAAATTATTATTTCTAACAGACTTCATTAAATGAGTAGGCATCAACCTATGTTGAATACTAAGAAATGCAAAAGTCATCACTTTCTGTAATGAAACATCTTGGACCCCACAAAATTAACCCCAGAGCAACTGCAGCAGACCCTTCCATTGGTGTATTTAGGTCAGGTTTATATTTCAAAGCCACTTTACCTACCCGCTGATAGCCAGAGTAGTCCCGGGGAGCACTGAACTGAGACTGTGTATAACCACTGTTTGGAGTGTTAGAGAATGAAGGACGGTAACCATCATATCCTCCTAAAATTTAAGACAAGAAAATAAATAATTCTCGTATCTTCATAACGAATGTTTACTGTCTTATTAACAATGAAGGGAAGAACTGAAAAGTTCTGCACCAGGTTATTTTTCAAATTTCTAATTTCCTATCCTAATGCAATTGATTTATACATTTCTATTAGGTATTGACTGCCTAAGAATTTTCACTCACCTATGCACAAGCACAAACATAAAAAACCCATCCCTGTGAGATCTGGTAATATATAGATAACAATTATTCCTTAAGACACTAAGAGATACTGATTTGACAAAAGCAAAAATCTCCCACTTCATCATTCAAATATATCAAAACACACTTAAAAATGTACCTCAGAGGCTAATATAGACACATCTTTTCTCAAAACTATGACATTATCTCTATGTATTTTACAAATCATAGAAGAACTTGAAATTTTAAAAGATTAACAGAACTTGCTGTTTGTTTCTTTACCTCTGAATCCATTGGCAGGGCCCCGGTATCCGTTCATCAAGCCTCTAGCACCTCGGGAGCCTCCACGAGACACACCACGGCTGTTGTAGTAGGGCTGATTGCTACGTGGAAATCCACTGTTCTGCTGAGGAGGCTGCTGGTGGTTACCAGTCACCTGATGAGGCTGGTCCTGGGAACCATGGTAAGTGCCAACCACTATAAAAGAGAAAATATATACTGTAATTCACACACATATACATACATGTATACACACACACACACACACAGCTGATTACCATTTTTCTCCCAACTGCTTTCTGGTTTTGCCTTTATGCAGTCTCCACAAAGTCTAATACAAAATTTAAATAAATTTGCACATTAACAATAGAAAAAATACGTTAATGAAATCCCTCCCTTTCTCCTATACAAAGATTAAACTAAGGAGAGTAAAATTCTTCCAACAATAATCCCAAACTTTTGGAAAGCAGCATGCACAATTCCATCCTTCCAAATGGATTTAAAAGACTGTACTACTGACATCTTCTCAAAAGATATCTAACTTTCAGTACAAGGGATCTACAATAATTCAGAGGCTTTCTTAAACACTTAGTACAATTGCTATTTTGTACCATTTCATTATAAAGCTCCTTGGTGGTAAAAGTTTTATTATTTTAAATTTCCCTTGGTACTTAGTCAAACACACAAAACCATGCTCTCAGAGTAGCTAAGCAGCGATATAGTAGAATATGCTGTAAATTACACTGCTGAATCAGCAGAGACCTTCAACTTAAAAGTCCTTTCTGCCTGATTCTATTTCAAATTCTTTTTTTATAAAACTAAATATTTATATTTAAAAAATATTTGTTTATTTATTCGAAAGAAAGAGAGGCAGAGACATTTTCCCTTTACTGCTGCAACCATCAGGGCTGGGCCAGGCCAGAGCTAGGAGACAGGAGCGTCACCCAGATCTCCCATATGAGAGGCAAGGACTTAAACATTTGGGTCACCTGCTGCTGCTTTTCCCAGGTTCAAGAGTCCTGTCCATTTCTGTGTCCGCCCCAAGTGGAGGTTTTGGGCTGGCCAGTTAACTACTGACCACAGTTGCTGGGGGTGGGCCTTCCCTTTGTTCTACTACCTTTCTTACCTCTCAAAGGCACTTTGCAACAGTTTTGTTTGGTTGCTTTTTTTCCCATGTGAATTATTAACAGAAATGCACCTTACTGTTTAATTTTTTAAAAGTTTCTGGGGGGAACAGGTGCTGTAGCTTAGGAGACTAAGCCTCTACCTATGGAGCTGACATCCCATATGGGATGCTGCTGCTCTTCTTCTGATCCAACTCTCTGCCTATGGTCTGGGAAAGCAGTAGAAGATAGCCCAAGAGTTTGGGCCCCTGCACCCGCATGGGAGACCAGGAAGAAGCTCCTGGCTCCGGCCTGGCCCAACTCTGGCTGTTGCAGCCATTTGGGGAGTGAACCAGTGGATGGGAGATATATCTCTCTAATTCTGCTTTTTAAATAAATCTTTTTGAAAAAATGACCACAGCCTACTTTGTGGAGAACAGGGTAGGCTAGAAGAGTTAAGACAACAAGTTTTGAAACCAGTACAAGGCCGGCGCCGCAGCTCACTAGGCTAATCCTCCACATGCGGCGCCGGTACTCCAGGTTCTAGTCCCAGTTGGGGTGCCGGTTCTGTCCCGGTTGCTCCTCTTCCAATCCAGCTCTTCGCTGTGGCCCAGGAAGGCAGTGGAGGATGGCCCAAGTGCTTGGTCCCTGCACCTGCATGGGAGACCAGGAGGAAGCACCTGGCTCCTGGCTTTAGATCGGTGCAGCGCCGGCCATAGCGGCCATTAGGGGAGTGAACCAATGGAAGGAAGACCTTTCTCTCTGTCTCTCTCTCTCTAACTCTGCCTGCCAAAAAAATAAAATAAAATAAAATCATGAAACCAGTACAGTATTCCAGATGGGAAATGATGGCTGTCTAAATTAGTGTTAGAAAAAGGCAAGGAGTATGGGCTGATGCGACTTTCTTACTGGTAATATCTGTAAAATATTACTGTCAACTTTTATAATTTATATTTTGAGATGGCAACTGGTTCAAGCACTTCAATTAGAAAAGTGGAATACAAAAGCAAGAGTTTCAAATTAACTGGCACAAATGGCAAAATTCACCCAAAACAAATGACACATGGTAACTGCTTTTTATTTCACCACACTATCTTTTAAAAGAATGGCAAAAGTCAAAGACATAAAAGAGTGTCACAAGTCTCCAAATACTTCAGTTCCACAACCAATTTATGACTACATTAAGAAGCCTAAGACCACAAAACCCAGTTTCATCCTTTAGGGACTGAACACAGTACAACTAATAAATTTTTATCAGATTATGACTCACTCAACTTCCACATTCATTAGTGGTAACAACCACTACAGGAACAGGTTAAGAATTACTACTAAAAAGTCGATAATGTTGATCCAGCTCTACCAAAAAATGAATAATTTAGAATTTTCAATTTTTAAGATGAGTCACATTAAACAAATGTGTTAACAGTTCCTCTGATTTCAGCAGAATGTTAGTTTGAGTTTCCAATTAAATTCCTTGGAATGAAATAATCAGAGACCTAAAGAAATTTCATGTCATATAAATTTAAGAAATTACAGTATCTCTGCCTCCATTATTACTGTAAAAGATATGGTAAGTGGTCCAATTACGATCTTACTTGCCAAAAAAGAATTTTGATTCAAACCAGTCCACCAACTGTAGCCACCATGAGATTTTCACAGAAGTTTTAATCAGTTTAAACTTCATGAAGCTTTACTAATCAGTACAACAATAACCAGACTAATTCCTACTGTTTCTTAACTTTATGTAACTGACTCCTTCATATGATACTAGCTAGGAAGCTTCATCAATTAGCAATGTAAGGTTAAGTTTATCATGATTCAAATCACAAGTTTAATTTCAGAAAGATTATGTAACAAAGCCAAGATATTATTAAAGCTCAGTGACCAAAGGAAAAAGGGTTTAAGGCTTCACAAAAATTCACATAAAGTATGGAGTCAATTTAATTCACAATCAGTAATGAAAAATTCTTATGGTGTAATGCTAAAACAAAAATCCTTAGGCACTGCCACTCTCAACTCTAATCTGTCAGTAATTGTGGAAAGCAAGAAGCCAACAAAGTGATGCTCACTTTCTTACCTGTTTGAAGCTGTTCTTGCTGAAGCTCTGTTTGTTCCACTTGGTGAGGCTGACTGGAAAAGCTCTGGTTGTAACTGGCTTGGTACTGATTTTGCTGTTTTAAAGTTTCTGGTTCATTAACAGGAGGAACAGGAGCATTCATATTGAACACCTTTAGGTGAATGAAGTCAATGATTAATTGATTCTTTTATTCCCTGTTTCAGCATGGCAGATCTCAACACTTACTTTGCTTCAAACATTAATGAAGAACATCACATAAGTTTCAAGCACAAACGTCATGCACTTTAATATGAGGAAAGATATTCATAGAGCATACAACTTATAAAGGCAGTACAACAATGTGCTGTGAAACAAAGTGGAGATTAAAAAAAAAACAAAAACAAAAAAAAAACTAAAAAACACAATCAGGAGTCCTGGGATTCTTTTATGTTTGAGAAATTTTTATAAAAGATGCAAACCCCTACTGGCGCCACAGCTCACTAGGTTAAGCCTCCACATGCAGCGCCGGCACCTCGGGTTCTAGTCCGGTTGGGGTGCCAGATTCTGTCCCGGTTGCTTCTCTTCCAGTCCAGCTCTCTGCTCTGGCCCAGGAAGGCAGTGGAGGATGGCCCAAGAGCTTGGGCCCTGCACCCGCATGGGAGACCAGGAGGAAGCACCTGACTCCTGGCTTTGGATAGGCGCAGCACGCCGGCCTTAGCGGCCATTTCAGGGGTGAACCACAGAAGGAAGACCTCTCTCTCTAATTGTCTAACTCTGTCAAAAAAAAAAAAAAAAAAAAAAATGCAGGCCCCTGATGTAATACCACTTGTAGAAATTTATTCTGTGGATTTAAATTTTCAGTTTAATGTTTAATTCATTTTCATTTTTACTCATATTTTAATCACAAGTTAGTATTTTAAGTATTTGATCTTGAACATTCCTCTGAACACTGAGTTCTTTCATAGATTACAGTATTTTCACTATCACTATTTTATAGAAATTCTCCAATTTAAAAATGCTTGCTGAATAACCAGATGAAGTCCTTTGAAATACTTCAGCAAAATAAAAGGTCAAGCAAACAGGGCTGTCAAAAACTATTATATCTAGATAATGACTACTAGTATATGGATGTTTCAACAGTCTACTCTGTACACTTAAAATTTGTTAATCACAGCAAAGAGCGAAACTACAAAATAAGATACAGCTACATTAACTCCTAAGACTCAAATTTAGGAATATTCAGTTTATATTCAATTAAATGCAATCTACAATTACAATAGATGCAGATGCAAGCCCAGTACAATGGAAACCTTTTGAGAATCTTGCTTGAGACACAATACACCCTAAGCACTTAATGTCAACTGAATTAATTTTCTTACCGTTTGCATGGATTGGAATGGAGCTGCATTTACATTGATTCCACTGCTATGTAAAGGTTTGCTTGTCCCAGCCTGGAACACTTGAGGCTGAGAAGCAGCAGGAAGGGAGGATGATGTTGTCGTCTGGTCTGTATTTAAAGAAATTGTTGCCTAAACACAAAGTGAACACATTCACTTTAGTGGTAAAGAAAATTCCCTTATGTATTAATAAACTCAACTATTTCATGAAACCAAAATAGGTCCAAAAAGAATAGTCACTATATATATATATTATATATATACTATATATACACTATATATATAATATACATATATATTAAATGTAATATATCTCTGCCCCATTCATGAGTAGGAGCCTGGTATATATGTTTATTTATATGGCCCAGTAACAGAACTTGCCTGAATCTGATCAATTGGTTCCTTTTGTGTTCGTTGTTCTGTAGCATGAGAAGGCTGGTACAAGGGCTGAGATGCTGTGTACCCCTCGCTTGTGGATGAAACCAAAGGAACCTAGACAGAAGAAAAGTCAAAGCTGCTTTCTTCTTGCAAAATTGACTGTTAGGATCAACACAGATAGAGCCGGGAAACAGTTAAGGAAGGGAGAAGTTAATGCTACCTTCTCTTTGAATAATTCAAATTGCTCTTTGAACTTGCAGACTATAAAGACTAACAATTACTAAAAATATGTATATTTTAAAATCTAAAGTTAAATTAACCCTAGTCCAGTTATAATACCCCCTTATCATTGTAAGATGGCAAATTGCACTAAATTTTAATTTTCTGGGCCCGGCGCTGTGTCGTAGCGGGTTAAAGCCCCAGCCTGCAGCACTGGCATCCCATATGGGCGTCGGTTCAGTTCTCAGCTGCTCCTCTTCTGATCCAGCTCTCTGCTACAGCCTGGGAAAGCAGCAGAAGATGGCGCAAGTCCTTGGGTCCCTGCACCCATGTGGGAGACCTGGAAGAAGCTCCTGGCTCCTGGCTTTGGATCAGCTCAGCTCTGGCCGTTGCGCTCATTTGGGGAGTGAACCAGAGGAATGGAAGCCCCCTTTGTCTCTCTCTGGTTCTACCTCTCTCTGTAACTCCTCTGTCTTCCAAAATAAATAATTCTTAAAAAAAATTTATTTTTCTGAAATGTTTTCTGCAATTCTGAGTTTGCAGTGTTTAAAAGCTTCCTTAATTATAATAAACTACTATAAATAAAAGAATTAACAAGAAAAAAGTTTTAAATCAAAAGGGAAAATATAGGCTGATAACTATCCAACCTAATGAACTTGCAACACAATTCTTGAATACTGGCCAAATTCATATCTAACTTTCATTAGTGGAGAAAAAGACCTAAGCACTGATTAAAAACAAACCTGAGGGGCCAGCGCTGAGGCACAGGTTAAGCCTCTGCCTGTGGCACCACTCAAGTCTTGGATGCTCCACTTTTGATATGGCTCCCTGCTAATATGCTTGGGAAAGCAGCGGGAGATGGCCTAAGTACTTGGGCCCCTACATCCACATGGGAGACTGGGAAGAAGCTCTTGGCTCCCTGCTTCAGATCAGTTCAGCTCCAGCTGAGCTCCAGTTGGGGAGTGAACCAGCGGATGGAAGACCTCTGTCTCTCCCTCTCTCTCTGTAGCTCTTCACTTTCAAATAAATAAATAAATAGAAACCAAAAAAAAATATTTTTAATCACTTTTACCTGTGTAGCTTCTGGTTGTACAGGAACCTGATTAGGTTGAGCAAGTCTAGATTCAGAATGAACTGCAAAATCAACCAAAAGATTATTATGCGAAACCAAATTTCTTGAGAAATATATAAGTATCATTTACTTGTTACAAAAGGCAAATTTCTATCACCAAATAATTTTAACAAAAAAGTTTCAGTGATTATAAAAATAAATTAGCTTTCAAGTTGGCATTTTGGTTTCCTGATAGTGATTATTAATTTACTCTTAAAATTGTTTTCATTTTGTTTTCGAAGAGTAAAGATATATTAATGTGGAAGTGCTAACAAGGCAGTAGAGCACAACAGACAAGAATCCACGTCATTGTTATCCATAAGAACTAATTTTATATTCAAGACCTTAGATCAATAATAATTGTTAATATTTTAATGTAACTTTCAGTATAATTTCAAATGTTTCCATGGGAGGCAGGGGGAACTGTAAATATACTATTAAGCCTATATTCAAGTCATTGTGTATCTTACTGGTAATTTCTACCCCTCTCCTAACTCTCTTCTCAACCGTATTTAAGTATATAACCAAAATCTTTGGTAAGTCATGCAGAAATCACGTATTAATGGACTCAGCATCTCCTGACTAAACAGTCTTACAGATCATGTCAGTGTTACCTGTGTTCACTTTGGCACAATTGATTTACCTAACTATCTTACCAAATTAACTATGTTATTAAAATTGTTTTTATTCAACAACTTCTTTTATGGCATTTAAAATTATACAACATTAAATACATTACTTAATCTAGTTCCACTAACACTGACATATTCTGGGGGAAAAAAACCAAGAAGATTCAAAACTATTAATGGTCTTGCAGATAAAGTCCACTTGACCCAATACAAGGCACCAAGTCTGTTTAGTGCTGCTTCATCAAATAATGGTGAAAAACGAGCAGGAGACTAAAACTACAATTGTCTTGTAGCTTATCTGTTCCCCTTTCCTCGTATGCATTCCCTTACTCATTTCTTGATGTTTCTCATCTATTTAAGATAATAAAATGTTCATAAATTCTCCTGAAAAGTTACAAGCATCCAAAGAAAAAACACCTCTATTGATTTTATCCCTAGATTAATTGTGCACTTTAAAAGTCAAGCATGGGTGGGCGTTTAGCCTAGTGGTTAAGACGCCACTACCCTATATAGGAGTACCTGGGTTTGATACCCAGCTTTGGCTCCTGACTCCAGCTTCCTGCTAATGCAGTCCTTGAGAGGTAGCAGTGATGGCTCAAGTAACTGGATTCCTGCCAATCATGTGGGAGACCTGGATTGAGTTCCAGCTCCTGGCTTCAACTGCAGCCCAGCCCCATATGCGTACATATGGGGAGTGAACCAGTGGATAGCAGCGTGCTTTTTCTCTCTCTGCCTCTCAAATAAAGAAATAAAAAAAAAGTTTTATAAGTCAAGCAAAATTTCACTTATATAAATACTACAAAAGCAGGCAAAGCTGGTCTCTAGCATTAGAAGGAAGTAGTTACCACGGAATTAGGGGACATGGTAACTCGTGACTAAAAGGGAAAAGCAAGACAGGTTTCTGGGGTACTGATAATGTGCTATTTTGATTTGGGTGCTAGTGTAGTCACTTTGTGAAAACTCATAGAACTTGCATGCATTTTTCTGTATGCTAATAAAAGTTTTTAAAACTATAAACAGAACTCAAAGGAAAAAGATCAAATTAAGATACAAATGCAAAAGATAAGCACATAATCAAAGAGCAAACTTTGTATGTAAGAAAGCACTGGTCTCAGCTGACGCCGCAGCTCACTAGGCTAATCCTCTGCCTGCGGCACCGGCACCCCGGGTTCTAGTCCCGGTTGGGGTGCCGGATTCTGTCCCGGTTGTCCAGCTCTCTGCTGTGGCCCGGGAAGGCAGTGGAGGATGGCCCAAGTGCTTGGGTCCTGCATCCACATGGGAGACCAGGAGGAAGCACCTGGCACCTGTCTTTGGATCGGCACAGTGTGCCGGCGTTAGCAGCCATTTTGGGGGGGGTGAACCAACAGAAGGAAGACCTTTCTAACTCTGCCTGTCAAAAAAAAAAAAAAGGAAGAAAGAAAGCAAGCACTAGTCTCTACCCTTTCTCTCTTACATTAAATTGTACCATTACTAACCTGGAGGGCAAACCAGCTGGGGCATGTCCATGTTTTGGGTTGGATTCATAGGCTGTGCAGATACGATGGCAGGATCAAGGGTCTGGTTCTCAAAATCCAGCATTGAATCCTATGTTAAGATATAATGGAATTAGTTCAGTTTATTAAATTCTTAAATCTTCAATTAGGGTTTAATTAAAAAACACTTACCTGTATGAAATTATAGGGCCCCTGCATTTGTGCCATAAGATCTTGTACTCGCTGTCTTCTCACAAGGGGATCTGCCTGAGCCACAGGAGTCAAAGAGTGCGGCTCTGGTACTGAAGGAGATGCAGCCTGGGGCTGCTGCTGGAGTGAATTTACCACCTAACGTGGGAGAAGTGGGAGGGAAAGGGAGAGAAAAGAGAAAAGAGCTCCATTCATTACTACTAAAACTGGTACCCACACTATGTAGGCCACCTATACTGTAAACAGAACAGGCTTTAATAGTGTTACCCAGGCCACAATCATGCCAAATTTAACATTTTGACCAGCAATGTCATTTTTTCAAGTATTCTCAATTCTTTGTATAGGTCACTATGTGGCTTTTCAGAGTTTACTTTACAGACTGCTTTCACACAGACTTCTTTCTAAAACAATGTGTTTTGCTTCAACCATTACATCTTCTAACTTGCCCTATCTCTGCTGGGAAGTCCTAATTTTTACTGGTATTCTTCTGTGCAGCTTTTACACCTGTGCAAGTCATATCTATCGAGTCTGAACAGGTAACCTTTCTTTGTTTATAAATAAGAGATTAAAAATTGCTCCTAAAGAAACTGGTGAACCATGAGAACTGATTAATTAGGCCTGCTATTGACTTGGGGATGCTCCAAAATTCCAAGGATCAGAGGTAGATAGCATGATAAAGGCTTACCTACCACAGAGTAAGAAGGAAACATACTGGCACAATGCTAGGTTCAGTAGTATGTTCTTCCCTCAAATAAGACACAAAGTACTTAACTACAAAGCAATGTTACATCTCAATATTTTCCTACTACACAATACATATCTTTCATTTCCAATGTTCCACAAAACATATGCTAAGGAGTAAGCATTGTGGGGTAGCAGGTAAAGCCATCACCTGCAACACCGGCATCCAAGCATCCAACATGGGCATTTTTGGACCCCTGTCACCTACTTAGAGGACCCAGACGAAGCTCCTGGCTTCTGGCTTCAGTCTAGCCCAGCCCTGGCCATTGCAGCCATTTGTGGAGTGAACCAAGATAGAAGTCCTTGCTCTCACTCCCCTCATCATTCCCCACTACCCCCCACCCTATAACTCTTTCAATAAATAAATAAAGAAATCTTTAAAAGAAAACATATGCTAGTAATTCATTTCTATTTCTCTATCCACGCTAACAAGTATCTTATTACCTAGATTGACCCTATGGATGGTCTGAGAGCAATCAATGGAGGAAAATATGAAGGGCGCCATTGAATTAGGGATAAGGATGTGAAAAAAAAAAGGCTTACTATAACTTGAGAGACAATAGCAAAAAACATTAGAGGAAGTCTAGAGCCTGGCAGCCAAAAGCACTACGCTAAGTAGGAGACACAAGGACTTTCCAATGCCATGCCACATGGTGGGTTTTGCTGAAGGCCATCTATGTGAGAGATCATTTTTTTCATACAGAGCTACTTGGTGTCAGAACAGAATACTTTGTGCAATTATTTAAATAACCATATTCGCAATGCAGCAATTCTATTAAGCACCTACAGGGATAAATAACAGTCTTATAAAATTAGTTTATAATTATAATAAATATATGTACTAATAACACAAAAGACTAACATTTTGTCCTCAGGAGAGACAAAAATTACAAAGACAAAAACGTCAACCTTGCAATAAAAAGTACTCTTACCTCGACCGTTTCAACTGTCCACTCATCTACCTGCTCCTTTTCACCACTGCTGAACTGTGTTTCTGCCATAAATTGTCTATTTACATACTGCAAAGCAAAATAAATGTTTGAGACATCTGTTTGAAAGGTAGAAAAGTAGAAGTTGCATTAAATCAAAGTCATACCTCTGTTGATTCAACTTCACTTTGTTCAGTGTATTCTTCTGCTGGCTCAGGTTCTAAGAGATTAAAAATCGATGCAAAACAGATTTTTGCGTCAGTGAAAGTACTCTACAATTGAAATGGTAGCTACCTGTCATTATTCCTTTGTCCAAACCCACAGAATGTACAATGCCAAAAGTGAGCCCTCAGGCTGGTGCTGTGGTATAGTGAGTTAAGCTGCAGCCTGCAGTACCGGAATCCTGTATGGGCGCTGGCTGAAGTCCTGGCTGCTCCACTTCAGAACCAGCTCCAAGCTAATGCACCTAAGGCAGCAGAAGACGGCCCAAGTCCTTCAGCCCCTGCACCCACGTGGGAGACCTGAATATTCCTGGCTTCGGCCTAGCCCAGGCCCAGCTGCTGTGGCCATCTGGGGAATAATCAGAAGATGGAAGATCCCCTCCCTGCCCCTTTCTGTAACTCTGCCTTTCAAATAAGTAAAATTTATTTTTTAAAATGAGCCTTAATGTAAACTACAGACTTTGAGTGATAATGACATACCACGGCCGGTTGATCAATTGTAATAAAAAGCACAACTCTGGTTAGGGATGCTGAGAACGAGGAAGGCTATGCAAGCATGGAAGTAGGGAGTATATGAGGAAATCGCCATACCTTCTGTTCAGTTTTGCTGTTTGCTTAAAACTGTCCTAAAAATACACTTTATTTGGGGTTGGCGTTCGGCCTAGCAGCCATAACACGGGTCAGGATGCCCACATGCCACATCAAAATGCCTGGGCTTCACTCACTGCTCGAGCTCTTAATTCTAGTTTCCCACTAGTTCAGAACCTGGGAGGCAGTGGTGATGACTGATGTAGCTGCCTTCCACATGGGAGACCTAAATTGAGTTCCCAGGTCCCAGCTCCAGCAGTGGAAGGCATCCAGAAAACAGCAGATCTCTCCTTTTCTAGTTCTCAAATTATTTTAAGAAAATGTTTTTTTTCAAATACTTTTAAAAACTGTGCAAAAATGGAAAAAATCTTTTTTAAAATTAACAATTCAGTGAGTGGGAATTTAATGTAGTGGTCAAGATGGCTGTGGCCCACACAGGGACACCTGGGTTCAATTTCTGGCTCCAGTTCTTTACTCCAACTTCCCATCAATGCAGACCATGGGAGAAACAATGATGGCTCAAGTAACTGGGTTCCTGTTTCACAAGTGGATGTGTTCCCACGGCTCCGGCCCAGTCAGAGTGGGTGGCAGAGACACAGAGAAAACTGCCACCCACTGGTTCACTCCCTAAATGTCCCCCAAGAGTCATGTGGCAGAAGCTGGGAGCCGGAACTCAATCCAGGCCTCACATATGGATGGCAGGAATCCAATTACATGAGACATCACTATTGCCTCCTTGGGGACACATTAGCAGGAAGCTGGAATCAGAGGCCAGGGATTCCCACGTGGAACCAACACAAGCCCAAGCACTTACTCTACAATAATATATTTAGAAAAATTTTTATGTTTATTCCAGAATAAATTTTATTCAACAGTATTACAGATTATGTATAATGTAAACAGAGCAACTACATTCAAATCCTTTATTCTTTTATGTAATAATGCAAGACAACATAGATTAAAATCTTACCAGTTCAATTTACTTCCTAAAGGTAGTAAAAAGGACAGCAAAGCGAGTGGGTGGGGGACAGCATTGCCTTATGTTTTTCCCCAACTCTTAAATTTCCACCAATGTGCAATCTTCCCTTTTGGGTTCAACCTAATAGCCAACACTTGTAAAATGTATACCACATACTAGGCACTGTATACATACTTCACATACTGAATTCCAAATGCGAAACCTGACTACAGAGAGCTTTAGTAATTTGCTCTAAGCGACATGGTTTGTAGTACTGAAGCAAAGACTTTACAGTCTGACTGTAGAACTCATGTTTTCAACCCCTTCAAAATTAGGCACCAATAATGCTTCCAATTGTACTCAACACTTTTACTCAACTTACAAGCTATAAAAGTAGTTAGTTTCCAATTAAATACTACTGTACTACTTACTAAAAATAATTAGAAAAGTCACCTTATCACTGAGGAATTTATAATTCAAAATTAGGGAGTTATAATCTTCCCATGATAAAAACAACTCACACTGTTCACACCACATACTGACATGGTAAATAAACAGCAGTCTACCTGGGCACGTCACACAAAAATCTAACTGAAACTCCCTACAACTCGCCCTCACCCACCTCACACCCTGAAATACTGCATCAAGAAAACTGTCATTTTATTAACCATGATTAAAATCAGTAGGACAAATAACTGATAACATATTCTTGGTGTCAATTGTTGTGATATTTTTGATATTTTGTTATGGTTTAGTTTCTTTAAAAATCTAAGTGTACATATATAAGTAAATAAATGTATAGCTTAAACTTGTAGCAAAGTAATACTAGGACCCTAAAGCTCTTATCTACCTACATACTCACCAGTTTCAGCTACCTGGTCTTCAACTGCGGGTGCTGAGGCTGCCTCTTCTTCCTCACACAGCCCATTCTGGTGGTTGTGGGTGCTGTCAAAATAGTTTGACTGAAAAACACGCTCAACAATTTCCTTTAAAGCTTTATCTAAAAAAGAATATAAATTATAATGTTAGACTATATGACAATGCCTAGCTTAAAAAAGATTCAACAGTCTAGAAAATATTGTATTGAGAAAAACCCATCTAATCACTGCTTTTAAAACATATACACACATAAAAGATTAAATTTCGCTGAAGACTAGAATGACAGGAAACAAGAACCTGTTTAAACTTTATGTGTTTTATCATTCAAAATAAAAAGCTGACAACATTCATTCAATAAATATCACCCAACATAAACTATCTTTTGGGTAATGTACTAGACACTGGGGATACAGAAAGTTCTATAAAAATATACAGTAGGGGCCGGCGCTATAGCACAGCAGGTTAACACCTTGGCCTGAAGCGCCGGCATCCCTTAAGGGTGCTGGATCAAGACCTGGCTGCTCCACTTCCGATCCAGCTCTCTGCTATAGCCTGGGAAAGCAGAAGATGGCCCAAGTCCTTGGGCCCCTGCACCCACGTAGGAAACCCAGGAGAAGCTCCTGGCTCCTGTCTTCAGATCGGCGCAGCTCCGGCCATTGCAGCCAATTGGGAAGTGAACCAAGAGATGCGAAACCACTATTTTTCTCTCTCTGCCTCTCCTCTGTGAAACTCAGAATTTCAAATAAATAAATAAAATTTTAAAATATATATATATATATTTATACAGTATTGTTGTGGTGTTGTGGCAATGCAGGTAAAGCTGTCTCCTACAGCTCCAGCATCCCATACGAGCACAAGTTCGAGTTCTGGCTGCTCTACTTCCGATCCAGCTCTCTGCTATAGCCTGGGAAAGCAGTTAGAACATGGCCCAAGTCCTTGGGCCCCTGCACCTGCATGGGAGAGCCAGAAGTTCCTGGCTCCTGGCTTCAGATCAGCACAGTTCCAGCCATTGTGGCCATTTCGGGAGTGAATCAGTAGTATATCCTGAGAGAATGATCATGGCTTAAGTACTTGGGTCCCTGTCATCCAGTGGGAGACTTAGATGAAGCTCCTGACTCTTGGCTTCTACCTTGCCAGCCCTGGCGGTTGTGGCCATGTAGAGAGTGAACCAGCAGACAGATCTGTTTGTCTCTGTTTCTCTCTGCCTCTGTAACTCTGCCTTTCAAATAAATAAATAAATCTTAAAAAAAATCTCTTTGGAAAAGATCTATTATTTCCCCCCTAAGCTTCATCTGACAGAACAAGTATCAAATACAAAGATAGTAAAAATTACATTTGTGGAAAGGAAGACCGAGAGGTATAAGGCATTAGAACATCAAGGTGAGATCACACAAGGCTTTGCTGGAGTAGGTACTACTAGAGCTGATACCAAAGATGAGTAGAGGGGAGCAAAAGTGTTTCAAGGAAGAGAAAACAGAATTTACAAAGTCCTGAACAAAGAAGGTTGTCAAATACAAGGAACGGAAAGGATGCCACAATGGATGAAGCACAAAGAATAAAAAAAGGATAGGGAAAGATGAAGCTGCAGAGATCCTGAAAGGCCAGACCAAGAATGGCCTTATAGTTAAGGTGCATGTAAAACAGAATTGAGGGGCTGGCACTGTGGTATAGCAGGTAAAACCACTGCCTGCAGTGCCAGCATCCCATATGGGTGCCGGTTGGAGTCCCAGCTGCTGCTCCACTTCCAATCCAGCTCTCTGCTATGGCCTGGGAAAGCAGTACAAGATGGCCCAGGTCCTTGTGCCCCTGCACCCGCGTGGGAGACCTGGAAGAAGCTCCTGGCTCCTGTCTTCAGATCGGCACAGCTCTGGCCGTTGCGGCCAGTTGGGAAGTAAACCAGCGGATGGAAGACCTCTCTCTCTCTACCTCTCTGTAACTCTGCCCTTCAAATAAATAAATAAATCTTAAGAAAAAAATGAAATGAAGCCATTAAAAGATGTTAAAACCGGACAGAGAGCAGACTCAATAAAGTGACTGACTGTTATCAGACAAAAGTAACATCAACAAATATTTATAAGGCAAATAAAATAGAATTTGGTATAGTAAGGTAGGAGGCACATAAAGAATTACTCTCAATTTTCTGGCCTTGTGGAGGAGATACATAGCAGAGTCATTCTCTGAGGTCACTGTACAAAAAAATAAAACTTCAGACTCCATACTGTACCAAAGTATCATAGAATTAATCCTATTACCAACAGCTCTTTAAATGATGAACAGTTCATATTTTTCCTTACTTTACTTCAGACTCAGAACTGTTTTCAAAAACTTAAGACAAATCTAAATGTACATAAAATAAAAACACTCATTTGGATACTTAGTACCTTTCCATTAGCTATAAAAATGTTACATTCCTCAGATGTAGGAACAAGGCAAAAAATAACAATACAAAGTACAAGCTTAGAGGTTTAATCCTAGTTACTCCTCAATAATGCTTATAAAATCTTAATCACAAAACATAAAACTACTCTTGTAAGTTAATAAGCTTATACACACATAAATTATCTCCTCATCTCAAAACGGTAAATTCAACACACATTTATAACATAACCAAAAGCAAAAAGCAAAATATTTTTATAAGGAAACATGGACCCCAATAAAAGTTAACAAGCCAAGAAAATGATATCTCACATGAAAATCATTACCATTTCATTTGATTTACCCAGTTTCTTAAAGCAAATCTTATTTCAAATTTTGCTATTTAACCTAAATAAATAGAGCAAGGTATAAAATCATAAACTTTTACCTTAATATGTTCAAAAATCTATCTAATTCAACCTTTTAAGTGACAAAGGTAAGAATCTATTCCCGGCCAGCACTGTGGCGCAGCAGATTTAAGCCCACCTGCAGTGCCAGCATCCTATATCTGCATCAGCTCTAGCCCTGGCTGCCCCACTTTCAATCTATCTCTCAGCTATGACCTGGGAATGCTGCAGCAGATGGCCCAAGTCCTTGGGCTTCTGTACCCGCGTGGGAGACCAGTAGATCGAAGACCCCCCGCCCCCACCTTTCCTTCTGTCTCTGTGTAAATCTGACTTTCAAATAAAAATAAATAAATCTTTTTAAAAAATGACTTTTAAGTAGAAAAACTAATTTTTAAGGATTCTTTAAAGATTTATTTATTTGAAAGAGTTACACAGAGAAGGAGAGGGAGACAAAGAGAGAGAGGTCTTCTATCTGAGGGTTCACTACCCAGATGGCTGCAACAGCCGGAGCTGCACTCATCCGAAGCCAGGATTCAGGAGCTTCTTCCCGGTTTCCCACGCAGGTGCAGAGGCCCAAGCACTTGAGCCATCTTCCACCGCTTTTCCAGGCCATAGCAGAGAGCTAGATTGGAAGTGGAGCAGCTGGGTCTCAAATCGGCACCCATATGGGATGCTGGCACTGCAGGCGGTGGCTTTACCTGCTACACCACAGCGCCGGGCTCCCTCCCCCCTTTTTTTATTTAAAGATTCTGACTTACAAAATCAAACTTATCTGTAATACTCACAAGTTGTTCCACATACAGATTTTTCCTTCCCCTCCAGCAAGTCCCACAGATGAATGGAGGCATGTTCATACTGCTCGTTCAACCTTATAACAATAATAATTTAACAGCGTATTAATTACCTTCTAGTAGTCAACTTCAGATATGTTTAGAAAATTTGTATTATCAAATACCACTATACCTCAAGCTCATGTCCCGTTCAGGGTCTACCAACTTGTAGAAGTCATCCAATAGAGACAATTCCTCCTCAGACAATATTGGCACTCCATTAAAACCTTGTTTCAAGTCAGTTCGCACTTCATCATCTCCCAATTTGTCCAAAACATATTGCAATTCAAGTATAGTTTTTAAACGCTTCTGTTCAGCTTCTTCTCTCATAAGTTGTTCCCGACGAGCTGTCTTCTTTATTGTTTTCTGAATCTGCATAAGAATATAAACATAAGATATTCAAAGTTCTAACTTTTAAGTACTCCTACTGACTCACAGAGTCAGCACACTCCAGAACAATACACTTCTGATATGGGAAAGGTATTACAATATACTGAAAACAGTGACTAACACTGATTTGTTTTTATGAATAACAGCATGCTGCCAGGCATAAACATAGTGTTTTTCCCAGTGGTCTTGTCTACCTTGGGAAGTCTGAAAGGATAACTTCACCTAAACGCAAGTATTTCTACCTTCCTTATTTTTAGCCATCAGTCTGGGGATGGAAAGGTCAGTCTTTCAGAGAGCCATGGTTATGCTTTTACCCTCCCTCAAGTTCAGTAGGATGAACTGAGAGAAAGACAAAGAGACACAAATGAAACCTATAAAGGAAGGAATGGGGAAAGCAAACCTGAAGGAGTGAAGGTTGCAATAACTAGACATCTACATTGGCACCAGAGTGGGTACACAGTATTTTAGCAACAAATGACAAATAATATATATGAGTAGAGAGAGACCTAAGTGAGAGTCTTAAGGGAAGCTTTCAAGAAAGAGACATCTAAGATAGATTATCTTAGAGGAGCGTAGTTTAAAGGTAGGGAGCTTTTTATAGGTAGCTAGAGGCAAGAAACAGAAAAAGAGGCATGAATGTGAAAGGAAGTAAAAAACGCAAAAGAAATAATAGAGAGTAACTTTAGAGAAGTGAGGATTTGACCTAGTTGTTAAGATGTCCATGTCCTATGCCAGAGTGCCAGGATTCAATTTACAGCACCAGCTCCTAACTCCAGATTCCTGTCAAAGACAACTGAGAGGCAACGTAATAAGCTTCCTGTCTCACACAGGAGATCCAGATTGTGTTCCCAGCTCCTGACTCCAATTCCAACCCAACCCCAACTGTTGCAGGCCTTTGAGAGTGAGCCAAAAAATAAGGGTTCTAACAAACAGGTTCTTTTTTTTAAAAAAAGGAAGCCACTTTAGATTACATGAATAGTTCAAAGAGAAAAAGAAGATGAGAGGATGGAACTAAACTGAAGAAACCTTGAATAAAAATTAAAAAGTTGATGGGGGCCGGCACTGTGGCTCAGCGGGTTAACGCCCTGGCCTGAAGCGCCAGCATCCCATATGGGCGCCAGTTCGAGACCAGGCTGCTCCACTTCCTGTCCAGCTCTCTGTTGTGGTCTGGGAAAGCAGTGGAGGATGCCCCAAGTCCTTGGGCCCCTGCAACTGCATGGGAGACCAGGAAGAAGCTCTTGGCTCCTGGCTTCGAATCGGCGTAGCTCCAGCCATTGCGGCCATCTGTGGAGTGAACCATCAGATAGAAGACCTCTCTCTCTCTCTCTCTCTCTCCCTGCCTCGCCTCTCTCTGCGTTAACTCTTTCAAGTAAAATAAATAAGTATTTTTAAAAAATTAAAAAGTTGTTCAATAATTGTGGAAAGTTTATCAGAGGCTCACAGTTAAATAAAAGCATTGCCAAAGAAGTTAAAAAACCAAACAAAAGCTCCTAAAAACACTAAAGTTCTAAAATAGAAGCAAAAGAGGATACAGGATCTTTACTAACAGTCACAGTAGCATCAGAAATAGGTATCACAGTAACCCTGCGTTTATGACCCATGTTCAAGTTGAGCAGGGTTCAAGCCTGAAGCTCTGACCTAAGTGAAACAAATCCCTATCTGGATGCTGTGGTCGGAACATGTCCTCCACAATTCGTATGAAAGAAACCGAATCATAGGCCGGCACCGCGGCTCACTAGGCTAATCCTCCGCCTTGCAGTGCTGGCACACCGGGTTCTAGTCCCGGTCGGGGCGCCGGATTCTGTCCAGGTTGCCCCCCTTCCAGGCCAGCTCTCTGTTGTGGGCCGGGAGTGCAGTGGAGGATGGCCCAAGTGCTTGGGCCCTGCACCCCATGGGAGACCAGGAGAAGCACCTGGCTCCTGCCTTCGGATCGGCGCAGTGCGCCAGCCGCGGTGGCCATTGGAGGGTGAACCAACGGCAAAGACCTTTCTCTCTGTCCATCTGCCTGTGAGAGGGGAGGGGAGGGGAGGGGAGGGGAGGGGAGGGGAGGGGAGGGGAGGGGAGGGGAGGGGAGGGGAGGGGAGGGGAGGGGAGGGGAGAAACCGAATCCTCACAGTGCAAGAGTGGTGGGAAGTAGAGCCTTTTGGGAGGTGCTTAGGTCAAAAGGGCTCCATTGTAATAAATGGAGTAACGCCACCAAAAGGGGGCGGGCCTTACGGAAGTGGGTCTGCTGTCTCTTGACCTTCCATAGTCTACCATGCAAGGATGCCAAAAGAAGGCCCTTGGCATATGCTGATGCCTTCATCTTCCCAGTGCCGCCAGAACAGAGAAATGTGTTCTTTATAACTTAATCAATATTAGATACCGTTACAGCAGCACAAAATAGACTAAAACTGGGTATTAATTATCTTTTTTGCTTTTCAGGCAAATTATCAACATTTTCCTCCTTTAATTACATAAAATAAATAATAGTAACATTAACTGCTTGAAATATATTGGCTATGCATCAAATACTGTTCCAAGTACAATCCTGAGGGAGGTAGATAACTATCATCACCATTTTGAAGACTGGAAAACTAAAGGAACTGTGATGACCATGAGGTTTCATTCACCTCACCCAAGTTAGAATTGCCTTTATACAGAAATCAACAAACAACAAATGCTGGCAAGGATGTGGGGGGAAAAAGGTACCCTAATCCACTCTTGGTGGTAATGTAAATTGGTAAATTTCCAGAAGACTTAACTTTCTGGTCTCAAATTATCTGACTTTGCTGGATTTAAGTTTGCCCTTTTCTTAAAGGCATTTTTCACCTCAAAAAGTACTATGGAAGACAGTATGGAGATACCTCAGAAATCTTAACACAGATCTACCATATGACCCACCATCCCAAACCCAAGATTTTACCCAAGGGAAATGAAATCAGCATATGAAAGTTATTTGCACCTCCATGTTTATTGCAGCTCAATTCACAATAGCTAAGATATGGAATCAACCCCTGTGCCCAATGGCTCCTGGCTTCGGTTTGCCACAGCTCCAGCCATTGCAGCCAACTGGGGAGTGAACCGGCAGATGGAAGACCTCTCTCTTTCTCTCCTCTATGTAACTCTTTCAAATAAATAAATTAAAAAAAAAAAAAAAAAGTCACTGTGTGCTAACTTCCCATGCAGGACCTCTGTCCTCAAAGAGTGGTATTGTAACTATGTCTAAGCGCTTGCAAAAGATGTATCATGGGGCCGGTGCTGTGGTGCAGCAGGTTAAAGCCCTGGCCTGAAGCACTGGCATTCCATATGGGTGCAGGTACTAGTCCCAGCTGCTCCTCTTCCAGTCCAGCTCTCTGCTATGGACTGCGAAAGCAGTAGAAGATGGCCCAAGTCCTTGGGCCCCTGCACCTGCATTGGGAGACCAAGAAGCTCCTGGCTCCTGGCTCCTGGCTCCTGGCTTCCGATCGGCACAGCTCTGGCCACTGCGGCCATCTGTGGAGTGAACCAGCAGTGGAAGACCTTTCTCTGTCTCTACCTCTCTCTGTAACACTGTCTTTCAAATAAATAAATTTATAAAATAAAAAAAGATGTATCTTTTTTTTTGGGTGCTTCCTTAAAGTTAATTAAGTTTCTAAAAAAGAAGTGAAATTAACTTCAAGATTCAAGGACTTTATGCACAGCCCTTGTCTGGACTGTTAAAGAATTTTTTTGTGGTTTTTCGTACAAACTGTTGAACTCTTTACTTAGTATAGAGTAGGTCTTCTGTGTATAAAGTTCATCAAAAATGGATCTTAGTAGAGAATGGGACTGGGGATGGGTGAAGGAAGAGGAAGAGGAGTGGGAGAGCAGGTATGGTGGGAAGAATCACTATATTCCTGAAGTTGTACTTATCAAATGCATGAAGTTTGTATTCCTTAAAAGGTTTCTCTGGAAGAAAAATTTAAAAAATTTAAAATACTAATTAAAAAAAAGAACTGTGATGAACTTGCCCCCTTTCCCTTTTCCACTATTGGACTGGTTCTGTTTAACTGGAAAACCTTGTAAAATATAAAAATAGGAAATTTATCCAAGGTCACACAACCATTAAATAAAAGTGATAGAAACAACACTCAACCAAGAAGGCACTGTGGTACAGCGGGTTAAGGTGCCAACGGGTGTACCCTCATGCCTTATCAGAGCACCTGTTCAGTTCCCAGTTACTCTACTTTCAAACCAGCTCCCTGCTAATGCACCTGGAAAGCAGATAATGGCTCAAGTTTTGAGTTCCTGCCACCCATGTGGGACACCTAGATGGAGTTTGTAGCTCCTGGCTTTGTGCTGGCCCAAACTCAGTTGTTGGAGCCATTTGGGGAGTTAACCAATGAATGGAAGTGCTTGCTCTGGCTCTCTGTCATCTGTCATTCTGCCTTTCAAATGAATCTTAAAAAAAAATTCAACCTAGGCATTCTGGTTCTAATATCAGAACTCTCAATTCCTGTACTTCACTCACTCATCACCTAACAATTTATTTCATTTCACCAAACTAAAGGTAACTTTGTATTTCAATGTTATTAGTCCTTCTCCAAATAAGCTCACACTTACTCAAGAGACTTAACTTTCTTTATATAGATACATTGATTGATTTTGAAAGTCAGTGTGACAGAGAGATCTTCCATCCATTGGTTCACTCCAATGCCAGGTGCAAGAGATCCATCCAGGTCTCCCACATAGTGGCAGGGACCCAAACACTAGGACCATTTTCTGTTGCTTTTCCCAGGCCTTTAGCAAGGAGCTGGATCACAAATAGAGCAGCTAGAAAACCAACCAGCACATATGGGATGCTAGCATCACAGGCAGTGGCTTTACCCATTTCATTACAATAGCAGCCCCAGAAGACATAACTTTCTGGTCTCAAATTATCTGACTTTGCTTCATTTAATTTTGTCCTTTTCCCAAAGGCATTATTCACCTCAAAAGGTACTTGGGAAAAACTTACAATTCCCTTGGATCAAAAGTTGACACAAGAGCAATGTTATCAGTCAGCCATATCCCTTTAGAATCCCCAAATGGAGGAAGTAATCACCAATTATATAAGTGAGTCTCTTTATTTATTGATAGTTAATGGAAAGCAGTATAAGATGGCCCAAGTCCTTGGGCCCCTGCACCTGTGTGGGAGGCCCAGAAGAAGCTCCTGGAATTATGAGATGGCCTTTAGACATTACAGGACATACGGAAAATTGATGTTTGCGTACTTGTACAGCTGATTTTGTAAACTAATGAGATCTTTAGGGTAACTATTATGTTTGTCATATTTCAAAAGACAAACTTCAAGTGTTATACTAAACTTTACAGACTAGAAGGCATTTTAAATATAATTAGATCCAATCCTCTCACCTCAGAGAAAAGCTACCAATAGTAATGGAAAGATTAAAACCAAAAGAACAATTTTAACTAATACTATATTTAAACTTATTAACATATATGCTTTTACTTACATCTTGACTTAATGCCATGAAACTCCTTTGTAATTCTTTTGCAAACTCCAAGTTATTTGTGACTTCCTGGTACTTGGACACGGCATCCTAAAATGACAGATAGCGTCAACTTTTCTAGAAATAAAGAACCACAAAATTCATTTTCTTATTTAAAATGTCAACATAAACTCTTTAACGAAAAAAAAAATCTTTACCAGCTGATCTTGATTAAGTCTTTCCCCTTTGATCATTCGTTCTTGGTAATCATCAAGCTTACCCTATATTGAAAGAAAAAAAAAAATCACTTCATCAAGCTAAAATGGCAAAAACCATGCAACCTCCTAAATCTGTTTCAAATTTTGCTTTTTATAGATATACTCCAGTTTAAATTAGTAATAAAAATTTATTAATTGTGAACTAAAAAATAAATGTAAATACTCCAACCACTGCTGAATGAAATTGAGTACTACATTACAAACCACTGACACAGCACTACTTACTCTGGGTTACTCAAAAGATATGCATTATATAGGACAGGCCTGTGGTTCAAACCCACAAGGGTGAGGGGGCACAACTTGGTTAGAATCCTGCTTATACCCAAGTGGTTTTATCAGACATATATAAAATGTCAAGTATCTGTCCCTTTCTCCTTTAAAGAATGTGAATAGGTGGTATAAAGAATGTGAAAAAGTGGTATAAAGAATGTATTTTTCCTGAATAAACCCATGGCATACTGTCTTTAGTGGACCTCATTTATAGTATATAAATATAACAATGTAGTATTTATAGTCAAAATACCTCTATTTAGATATATAGTTAACAGAAAATCTCCAAATAGAAGGAAGACTCAAAATTTAGCACTAGTACAGAGTTACAATTTAGAACGAGGCACTAAGCAAAACAAAACCAAAAGACCTGCCATTAGCTTACAATTGGCATTTTTCTTTTTAAGATTTATTTTTATTTATTTGAAAGGCAGAGCTACAGAGAGTCTTCCATCCATTGTTCACTCCCCAAAAGGCCACAACAGCTGAAGCTGTGCTGATCTGAAGTCAGGAGCTTCTTCCAGTTCTCCCACAAGGGTGCAGGGGCCCAAGAACTTGGGCCATCTTCTTCTGCTTTCCCAGGCCATGGCAGAAAGCTGGATCGGAAGAGGAGCAGTTGGGACTGGCACCCAGATGGGATGCCGGCACTAAAGGCCAGGGATTTAACTCACTGTGCCACAGCACCAGCCCCACCACTGGCATCTATTACCTGTGTTTCTTGTTCATGTTGAACTTTTTTCAAGACAATTATTGCTAATCTAGACATTAATATACACTAAATGTACTGAACATTCCTCATGGAGGCATAGTTTATATACCCAATCAAAATAAATGTCAAATCAAATTCCTAAAACATGTTTGTATAAACATAAAAAGAAAAACAAAAAAGGCTAAGAATGTACCAGAGTTTTAAAATTACAGCTGGAAAGGTTCCTTTTGTTGTTTTGTATACTTATAACATATGCATAAAAAACTAGAATTCTGGGGTCAATACTGTGGCATACTGGGTAAAGGCACTGCTTCCAATACTGGCACCACATATGGGCGCCAGTTCAAGTCCTGGCTGTTCCATATCCAATCCAGTTCTCTGCTAATGGCCTGGGAAAAGCAGAAAATGGCCCAAGACCATTGTGACCATCTGGGGAGTGAACTAAAGATGGAAGATCTCTCTCTCTCTCTCTCTCTCTCTATATATATATACACGCACACAACTTTCAAATAAATCTTTTAAATGAAAGTAAAATAATAAATTAAGAAAACTAGAATTCCATGCTAGAAAAAGTATGTTAAGAAAAGGGTACTATCAGAAGGACTTATAGGACTAGCTATCCTATAGTAGAAAACTCCAACTCTCTACACATCACAAATTGACTATACATCCAGTTGGAAGGTTTTAGAACAGATTACATTTCCCAGGACAGCTACAACATTTGCAGCCTCATATGCTGTTCTACATTGTGACCCTGGCACTCCATTAAAAACCAGTTCAGGGGCAGGCACTTGGCACAGTGGTCAAGAAACTACTTGGAATACCCACACCCCATGCTGAAGTGCCTGGAAGTCCCAGCTCCACTTAAAATTCCAGCTTTGTTTTTTTTACACACCCTGGAAGGCAGCAGGGGACAGCTCCATGTGGGAGACCCACACTGACTTTCAGGCAGCGGCTTCAGTCTAGCCCAGCCCCAGCTGTTGAGAGAATTTAGGAAATGAACCAGCAGATGGGAAGATCTCGATGTGTCCGCCTTTCAAATAAATTCAAAAAATATTTTTTAATTATAAAAAAAAACTAATTTCCCCTGCCACTGTCAGGTTTACCCAATAGAGTACAGTCTAAGAGATGCTTTATAAAGTCCATGGCCAATAAAAGCAATGTATCTCTGCCTTGAATGCAAGTTACTACACCTTGTATTCAGAACCCTGAGCCATCACACAAAATTCTCCAATTCCTGAAGAGCCATGCTATGCAGAAGCCAAGCCACTCTTAAGAAGTCCACGGAAGAGCTCTGGGCAGCAGTTCTGGTGTTCAAGTCATTCTTGCCCAGGCATCAGACATGTGAATGAACAAAGTTTAACTTTCCCAGCTGAGGGTCCAGGCATGATGGAACAGACATCAACTCTGCTGTATGACATCTCAATACCTGAGGGGCAGATTCAAATGATGGTTTTAAGCCCTTAAGTTTTAGATTAACCTACTACACAACTAAACTGGAACAAGGTTAAAGAAAAGGGAAATGAAAATCAAAGGAAAGCAGCTACTATGTGAAACTCAGCTTCACAGTACACGTATTTGTAGAATGTTCTGTCAAGAAGACATGTGCTGGAACAGGCTGGCATAGCAGGAAAGACCGCCACCTACAGTGTCGGCATCCCACATGGGCACCAGTTCGAGTCCCAGCTACTCCACTCCCCATCCAGCTCTCTGCTATGACCTAAGAAAGCAGAAGAAGATGTCCCAAGTCCTTGGGCCCCTGCACTGGCATGGGGGACCCGAAAGAAGCTCCTAGCTCTAGCCATTGCAGCCATCTGGAGCGTTAACCAACGGATGGAAGACCTCTGTCTCTGGTCTCTCTTTGCCTCTGTAACTCTGCCTTTCAAATAAATAAATAAATCTTTGAAAAAAAGTGCTAAAAAGATACAAAGCCAAAATAATTATCTGCATTTTATTAAAGTTCATATACTTATTTAACTTTGACTTTACATTATTAACATTATTTCTATTTTACCATTTCACAGTAACTTAAGAGTTACGATTTTAACAATTTATTTGCTTTTATTTATTATAAAGGCAGAAAGAGAACTAGAGAGAGCGAGTGAGTGAGCGTGTTTATGTACTCTCACTTGCTGGGTCAGTCCCTAAACATGGAGCCATCACCTGTGCACTAGCAGGAAACTGGAATCAGGAGCAGGACTGGGACTCAAATACAGACACTCCCATACAGGACGCAAGCACCTTCACTGATAGGCCAAATGTCCACCCAAGAGTCACACCGCGTTTGTCCTCCCACGGTGAACACTCAGCACTACTATTATAAATATCCTAACCTTGCAGACGTCAGGAAAGCAGGATCCTGAGTCTGGTCACAGTGCCTTAGAAATGGCATTCCCTTGAGGATAACAAACTTACCAAGAAAACTGCAGAATGACAATAAAAGACTGTTTTCTATTAAAGAGCCCTAGTTTTATCTTTACCACTATAATAATGGACCTCAAGGCTGCTAAGGTGTACAGAACTTTTTTATCACCACGAGTCTAAGCCAGAAGGAATCTCTGTTCACTATCACATATAATCAGATCTCTACATAGCAGAGACCCAATATTGAGCTAAATCCGTGATTTTCAGTGTGGTCCCCAAGCTAGCAATGTCAGCATCACTGGGAAACTGTCAAAATGCAATCACCCCAGACCTACTCAGTCAGAAACTTTAGAGGTGGGAGCTAGCAATTGTTTTATCAAGTCCTCAGGGTGACTATGATGCATCCTTAAACTTGAGAAATATTCATAAGTAATATATATAGCAATTTCCTTGTGATGCCAAGTCCAAAAGAACCTAGAGGCCGGCACCGCGGCTCAACAGGCTAATCCTCCACCTGCGGCACCAGCACACCGGGTTATAGTCCCAGTTGGGGCGCTGGATTCTGTCCCGGTTGCTCCTCTTCCAGTCCAGCCCTCTACTGTGGCCTGGGAGTACAGTGGTGGATGGCCCAAGTACTTGGGCCCTGCACCCCATGGGAGACCAGGAGAAGCACCTGGCTCCTGCCTTCGGATCAGCACGGTACGCCGGCCACAGCGGCCACTGGAGGGTGAACCAACGGAAAAAGAAGACCTTTCTCTCTCTCTCACTGTCCACTCTGCCTGTAAAAAAAAAAAAAAAAAAAAAAAAAAAAAAAAAAAAAAAAACACACACACACAACAACAAAAAAAACCTAGAAATAAGATATCCTGAATTTGTGATTTGATTTGTGACCTTAGAAACCATCCATCACATGGCTACCTCAATTTAGGAATAGGCTGCATAAAAGTTCAGCTTTGAGGGGCCAGCGTTGTGGCGTAGCATGTTAAAACAGCAGCATGCTACGCCAGCATCCCATACAGGCATCAGTTCAAGTCCTGGCTGCTCCAATTCTGATCCAGCTCCCTGCTAATGCACCTGGGAAAGCAGCAGCAGATTTCTCAACTGCTTGGGCTCTTGTCTTTCAAATAAGTCAGTCAGTCTTTAAAAAAAAAAAAAAAGTTTGGCTTTCAACTCAGTAAATTTGCTGAATGATGGATTGGTTTGGTTTCTAATCAGTTAGCATTCTTTATGATTAAACTCAATGGAAATCTGCACTAGAAACAGAAAGCCTCATTTTTACAGATTTATTTATTTGAGAGGCAGAGTTACAGAGACGGAGAGACAGAGAGAGGTCTTACATCCGCTGGTTCACTCCCTAAATGACTGCCAACGACCAGAACTGGGATGATCCTGATCCAGGAGGCAGTTCCTTCTTTCGGTCTCCCACATGGGTTTAGGGGCCCAAGCACTTAGGCCATATTCTACTGCTTTCCCAGGCCAAAAAAGCAGAGAGATGGATTGAAAGAAGAGCAGCCGGGACAGGAACCTGTGCCCATGTGGGATGCCGGATGCCGGCACCAAAGGCAGAGGCTTGACCTACTAAGCCACAGCCCTAGCCCCACAGAAAACCTCTTAGAGCAAAATTAAAATATCTTGCTATAGCTTTCAGTCCTAGCTAACT